CTGTAACAGTGCCTGTGGGCTGGTGAGGGAGATCTCTGATCTACTGAGGTGTAGAATGGCAGGAAATATTTGAGGCTAGCGCCACCTCCTCCATATGTGTCTCGATGCAAGAACAATCCTTTAAGACACAGTTCCGATGGTACACTATGCCTGTCAAACTGTTCCGAATGCAGAGGGTACCGACTGACATGTGCTGAAGGGGCTGCAGCTTTAAAGGCACCTACCTGCACTTGTGGTGGGAATGCCCCAAAATGAAAAAGTTCTGGGAAGCAGTTACGAATATAATAACACAGGCATTCTAACAAGCACCCGACCCCTGGGTTTACCTCCTGAGCAGATCATTAGATGGCTGGATCAGACACGAACCAAAGCTCTTACACAAAATCACACTGGCGGCCCAAAGGATGGCAGCGCAATATTGGCTTAAAATAGACACTCGCCTTATGGACAACCTTACTGCTAAAGTAAGGGGCATTCACAAGAGGTTTGAAAAGCCCATGGGACGAGTGTCCGCTAGTGGACTGACGATGACGCACAAAGATGGACAAGCGTTCACCTTGATGGGAATTCCAGCGAGGGTGAGACGGTAGACCTAGAATGAAAGATGACTGCGATGGGCCCCTGCCCTCCCCCCCTGCGCACCTCGAACTACACCCCCGAAAAACTATGAATGGGGGTCGGAACGTGGTCTTATGCACTGCAGGATGACCACAGCTGATGCCACACCAACCAAGACCTGACCGATTACCTTTTTTCTTCTTTGTCTCTCTCGGGTACCCAGTCAGGGAAGGCGGGCCATCACTCCAGTCCACTATGTGTCATCGCTTATATATCACAACATTTCTGATTTATTCTGTTAGGATCTTGTGTTATATCTGACCTCAGTATAGGAACTGTGTGGAGAACCATGGGGTTGTATTGATTGGAACTATGCCTGTATAATTTTTAGTAACAGGATGTGGTAGTGTTGCCAGTGCCGTGCAGCCAGAGTCCCCACCCCAACCCCAGAGGCCGGGAAGCGACAGGCCGGAGCGGGAGCGGGGGCAGGGGCCACAGGCCCCCAGCACCCCACCTCCCAGGCAACAAGATCACTCATATGTTGGGACTGACCCTAGGCCCTGGTCATCATGTGCCTATGGGTAGTGATGTGGAATGGTTGTTGTGCCCAGTGTTCCATTGTGTTTGAGTGGGTGACCACTGTGTTATGGGCTTTCGTTATCCGCTCAACCTTAGTCTTCAGGTCTGACGTGCGGGCTCCAAAGGCCTGTATCCCGGCCTTCCCCTTTTTTGTACTGTGGGATATTTCTCTGGCAAGGTAGCTGGGGACTTCCGCTGTCTTGGAAGGTATTTGGTTGGTGTGCCCCTGTTGGTTGTCTACGTTAGAGGCTGGCAAGAGGGAGCCACGCGGGATAGCCTGGCGGCCATCTTGCGATGCCCGTGAAGGGCGGGAGGCGGCAAAAATGTCTGCTACAGAGAGGTTGGACTCTCTCCCCTCTACTTGCGAGGTGCTTTGCTCCTGATCCTTTGCTGGATTTTCTCTGCGTTGCTTAGGATAATTTGTGAGGTTCAGTGCTAAAGGCAAGTGCTTGATTGCAAGTGGATTGAGAGGGAGCTCTTAGATTAGGCAGCCATTCAAGTCTGCGGTCAAAACACGCCCCCTATATACACATATTATATTTCGCGCATCACACATTTTTTGGTATTTGTATGCCACATTTATTTGTGTATGCAGCTTTACACACTTTAAGAGATATAAGCTCCTTGCACACTATTTTAGATAAAATTTCAGAGTGTCAACTGATGTTCTCAGCCTATGATTGGCCTCCTATTGAGAGAAACAGTACATACCTCATAACAACCCTCAAAACAACATCAACCCGCTAAAGTTGTTATGGGTGGTTGTATTCCTTTAAAAGAGCAATCCAGTCCCTTAAAACATTTCAGCTGATTTAACACAAGTCATTATTAATTACTTGAATGAAGTAGCAGTGGAGCTGCAGCAAGGAGACTCTGTCAGTGTTGGAATAAAGGTGAGTTTAAAACCAAACTATCACTTCCAGAGAAGCTCACACAGCTCTTTGCTTCTGTACCCGAGTAAACACTAAAATAGTGTTTACTGGGGTGAATAAGGCAGTGGAGGAAGAGGGGAAAGAACCTTGACTGCTTTTCCAGGTTTCTGAGGCTTCAGCTCCCCATGATGCCTTGCTTTGTGCATGCACGCTCAGGGATCAAATGGAAAGGTTGCATAAAAAAACTCCACTAAACTGCTACAGCTCTGTGGTCAGCCAACAATTGGGTATTTCAAAGTATTATTTCCTCCAGGACAGAGTTGGGTAAGACCCTCTGTCACTAAAGTGGAATGCATGTACTGGCTCCTCAGGGAAATAGTGTTGTATTGCCCATACAGATGTGTGTTTGTGTGTCACGTGGGAGAGCAGTTTTTGAAATTAGAATGTGTGTGTGCCTGTGTATCTGGATTCATATTGGTAACTCTTGGAACTGCTCACCCTCTCTACTCCTTCAAAGCCAGTACTGACTCTGTAAAGTCTCCATATAACTCTTCTCCTTGTATCGTATTGCCACTTAATAATTGAATCCATTTGTCATGTCATTATAGTCGAACTAAGCCACTGTGTTTTATGTTTAAATTTAACATTGAATTAATCATTTTAAATAAATCAGAGTCTGTCTGTGTGTGTGTGTGTGTGTGTGTGTGTGTGTGTGTGTGTGTGTGTGTGTGTGTGTTCTCTACAAATGTAACAGTCTGAATTTCTTCGGGCTGTGTCTCTTTTCAAGAAAGTATTTTCTGACTGCATAAAACATTTACAGTATTCGTCACTAAAGTGTGACATATGAGAAATTGAGAGGAAACTTCAAATTTTAGATCAAAACCGATTTGGAAATATTCTCCATGTCCGCTCTGTTTACAGTTTGACTTATTTGGCAAAAAAATTAAATTGTTTGAATTCCTAACAATTCACACTTTAGTAAATAACCCATTAGCAGGCAATACAACTGTTGGCTGGTAATCTGGTCTTCCTATTGCCATACCAGTTGACATGCCACTCGCCAATGAATACATCTAGGGGAAGAGAATAGATTACAATACTCATTCTGCCCTGTATCCATTATGTTTCCAGCTTTCTTCTTTATTTCTTTGTTAGTCATCGATGTAGTCTCAAACGTCCGTAAGAGTTCAAAATGGGGATTTATGGTAGCGCCAGTGAGAATTTGGTATAAAAATTTCAACACCACATATAAGAAATTCCTCACAAAGATTCCACCATTATGAGGAAATATTTTGGGGACACTTTCTTGTTGTACCCGAACGCAGAAGGTGGCTATTTTCTTTAAAATAATACAATTACTAGTGGCACATCTCTGATTAACTACATTTTGCAAGTCAGTAATCAACTCACCAGCTCACTATTTAGCAAATAAAGCCCTTGTAAAGTAATATGATTTGCACAACTGCTTCACAGAATGGAAGCAAACTTACAAAATATTCATTTTTTTTTTTTTTTCAAGAGCATACCAGGGACTAGGTACTCAAACCATGTGCCTCAAAAGAAATCCAGTTCTGCCACTTATGGAGTAATATTTCAGCACTTCACTGAGCCAATCTGCAGTAATGTTTCTGTAAGGCATCCAAGATACTCCTCTGTATAAACATCACAATACAAATCATATGTCTCTTCTCTAAGGTGCTGATTCATTATACTCTGAATTGTAGCAAATTGAAATCAAAATCACACACTGAAGAATAATAGCTGATTTGGAAAAATAATATTCGCTTATATTTGCAGTTTAGCTATTTTAGCCTCAATTTTGCTATTTGGAATTATTTTAAACATAACTTTTTATTGTAAAGCGCCACGGAATATGTTGGTGCTATATAAATGGCGATAATAATAATAATAATAGTTAACAAACCCCTGAGTTTATAGGCAACATAATGTCACATTGAAAATATATGTAAATACATTACATATCACACTCACTAGGTGACTTAAAATGTGACAACTAACCACTTTCAACATAAATAGAGCATTTAAAGCAGATTTATAGCATATATGGGGCCTCTCATAATACTCCCCCACTTCCTTTTGATGTGTCCCTCATGGGACAAGAATGTGCTCCTTCCCCTCCCCCCTACACTAGAAGGACCTAGCCATTTCCTGCTGCTCCCTGTAATAGGGTCTGCATGCATCATATTGGCAGAGAAACAAAGGGCTTTTCTTCATGTCACCCCCCTTCTCTCCACACACACCCATTGTTCATTGTTTTCCTGCTGGGCCTTTTGTTAATTGTTTGCTGGACACACACACCCATTCAGTGAAATACTTTATTCTTCCAGATACACGGTATAAATATACACACACCGGCATTGTATAGTTCTGTCTGTCTCTGTGCGTACTTGTAATTCATTTCCCGTGGGAGCCGGTATGTAATAAAAACAGAAGGCAAAAATAAGCAACACAAAATTGAATTGTCACAACAAGCAATGAACAGCACCTGAAGGCAATGTGCAGCTTGGAAATGGTAAAAAGAGTTCACACTGCAATGCACAGAGCAGCTATGCACACAGCACAACTGAATCAATATTTGCACATTCAGAGAAGAATGCACACAGTCAACGGACTGCCTATGCTAATAAACACACTATATACGTATATGTTTGTGTTTATAAGTATATATATATATATATATATATAATTATTTTATTTGTTTTTTTCCTATCTGCATAAAAGCTCGAAAATCGTGCTAAAATATGAGCACTTAATATCCTAATAAACCGCTCCAGGTAATTTATTAAAGTACCCCTTTACCTAACTCGGGGTACGAGTGAATGTCGGCTACATATGTATATTTGATTTGACACGTATTATATAACTGTTTTATTATGGAGAGCCCCGGTAGCTTGCTATTTCGTGGGGATTTTCCCCCCCCTTCTTCTGATGTTTGCTGCCTGCTGAATCCAGATGCACACACTAACATACACACACACACGCACACATATATACACCGAGTTACACAGTAGGGGGCGGGCAGGAAACTGCTATTACATCCCAGGAGAGACACTCACACCCACTGGAGACACCGAGGGGGAAGAGGGGAGACCTAGCGAGGGACACAGGAAGGAATACGAGCTCCATAAGGAAAAGAAGCAGACAGGAATAGTGACCGGCTGTCACATCCCTGGGAGCACAAGGGACAGAGTGTTACTGGAAGTGCGGGCGTTCGATCTCAGAATGTCAGTGATCAAAGAGTGAGTATGGCTGGATATACGCAGCTCCCACATCTCTGCCTGTCTGTGCGTGGAGTGGCAATGTGTATATGCCTTTATTGGGGATTTTTGTTTACTTGAAAGCCAGAGACTTGTTGTTGAGAGAGAAAATAAATCGAGGCTTATTCACTAAACAATAAATTGTAGTGAATTAAAAACTAAACTGGAACATGTAGGGCAACCTATATGGAAGCATTCTCCTATGTCTGTGTTGTTTACAACTTGGCTGTGTTTGGCTTGTTTTTGACATTTGACTTAAAAATCTCAACAGTTCACTGTTTAGTCAACAGACCCCTTTGTCGTTATTACAGCTGAGTGTATACTTTTGCACAAAGTATAAAACTTGTGCTTGGGTCATGCTGTATCCCTATTCAATAAACAGGAGTGAATTGAAAATCAGACTACACAATTTAGGCCAAAATAGTTGATATGGAAAAATTCTCCAACTTGGATGTAGTTACAGCATCACTGTTTTCTGCCTGAATTCTGTTATTCACAGTCCACTGTTTAATGAATAGTTGTGCACTTTGGGATTGTTTGTCTCTGTTACCTTCGTGTGTGTGTGTGCGTGTGCTCTTGAAATATTGTTCAGCATTAGTGTAGGCATATTATTTTTATTATTATTATTTAAAAAGCCCCAACAAATTACGTAGCGCTGTACAATTGGTCTAATATATTCACTTTTGTGTAAAAAGCGTTAACTGTGTGTTTAAAGATTTCATTAATACAGTAATCTATCTAGTTGTTTTTTTCTGGTCTCTCTAAAATCTGTTTGTTCATATGCACAATATGTCTGTATCTGTGTATATACATCAAATGGATTTAGAACTGTGGATTCTGTGCAATGCATTTGTGCATAAATAAAGTTTTAACGTGTTTAAAACATACTCCTAAATACATGGTTAAAAGCCAGGAACTCTCATTATATAATCTGCCCATCATTTCAATAGGTTGGTGACATGTCATGCAATAAAACCTTGACATCTCCTCCTGATTTACTTTGAATCGTTCCAGAACACTTAAATGCATTATTTCCATCTGCATCTTTTCTATTCCATGAATTTTCTATTTGTAAAATAAGTCGTTTTGTTTTTTAACATAGGGTTTTGGGTAGGGTTTCTTCACACTTAGGACAGTAAATGGATATAAATGTTCTGGCCTTCCAGAAATTGGTGAGGGTTGCATGCCTTATCAGTTGCTTTTTGCGGCAGATGTACTTGTTTCAGCCTCTCTCTAACCATTGACACGCAGGGAGGAAAGCTCTGGACACAGACAGGGTTATACACTAATGTGAAAACGATCAGGCATTAAATCTGGTTATTTAAAATTAAAGGCGAATATAACCAGATTTAAGGCAAAGCTGACTGAATTCCTGACAATTTTCTCCTGGCATGTTAGAAACATGAGAGGGGCTGAATTTTGCTGAGAGATTGTCTGTCTGTCTGTGAATTGACAAAAAAACTAAACAAAAAAAAAAAAACACCTGCAAACTATTTATTTAACAAAAACTGGAAAAATTCTCAAAAGCAGTTTTGGCCTAAAATTCCCTTGTTAATTCTCCACATGTTTTGGCATTAGTGAATTATACACTTGCATGTTTTTTTTTTTTCTATCGCTTTTAGAGATTTTCAGTTCATGTACTCATCTGTCTGTGTACGATGTTTAGTCACCAGACCGTGAATTGATAGTATCCTGTAGTATTTTGCAGCTACTCCAGTACAGGGCTATGAATAAATATCCAATATGAATTTTACATATGAAATACTAGAGAGAAATATCTAATAGGATGTAGTTTTAAATGATAAAGTAGTGAAATAAAATGCTTACATGGAAATTTGGAAGTCCTGAGAACCTTCTGGAGTTATCTTATGATTGACATGAAGCGGTTTGCCTATTCTGTTACTGCAATCCTCTTCCAATCACCTAAAAGCCACATTTTTGATTTAAGATCTTTTGATTATAACATTGGTTGATTTGGTAAATAATTTTTTTACCTTTTTATACTTAAAATGAACAAGAATGTATATTTATATCTCTCAATCTGTATACGCAGACATTTGTGGAACTTACTGTCTAATTCTTCATATATTTGTGCCACTATGTAAATACACCGTGATCACCCTGGGACATGAACAGAATGTACAAAAATATGTTATATGATGTCTCCATTAATTTGGAGTCCTGTCACTTTAGGGCTTTGCTGTCACATGACGTTACTGCTCTATGCTCTTGTATCAAAGTGGCTCTGTCACTTTTGAGCTGTAAAATAGGGTTCAAATTTTTTAAAAGTTCTTTTTGACCGTGTTGAAATTGAACGAAATCACAAGACATACACAAGTCAAAATAGGGACTATATTGTTTACGTGCCGCTCTGTGACAGTGGGCCAGAGTTTTCATTTCACATCAGACATTGGTTGTGACAGCTGATGGAAACTGACTTAATCTTTCATGATGTGCAGTAGATATCTATGGCTTCTTATTGATCTAATATATTAATAAATACCAGGCACTCCTTAACCATGTCCTGCCCCTCCCCCTTTTTAGCCCCCAAACCTGTAAAAAAAAAAAAAAAAGAGTACCGTATAAGTCGAGTTTTTCAGCACATTTTTTGTGCTGAAAAAACCCCACTCGACTTATACTCAAGTCAGTGTCTGTATTATGGCAACTTACATTGCCATAATACAGACCAGGACCACTGGGCTCATTACAAGCATGGCGGTCCTGTTGAGGGCTGGCAGCGAGCTGTAACTTACCTTTCCTACAGTTCCTGTCAGCTCCCTTCTCCTCTGTTCCAATCAGCTCCCTTCTCCTCCACTGTAAATCTCGCGAGAGCCGCGGCTTCTGAGCGTTACACACAGAGAGTGCGTATATAATGCTGTGTGTGTGTGTGTGTGTGTGTGTGTGTATGTATATAATTATAAAAATCACAGAATTTCATAGCCCCAAGTTTTACCCTCGACTTATCCATGAGGCATAGCATATTTCACAATTGTTGGTCACAAAACTGCATTCGACTTATACATGAGATCGACTTATACACGAGTATATACGGTAACATAACTGGAATGCAGTACTGGCCAATGTTCTCTTTTAGCGTTTTGAAGCAGTCAAACACACTCCTTTCTCTGTGGTCCAATCAAATACTTCTCATAGAGATGCATTTCATTGGACCGTTCTCACTGGTCCAGAGCGCGTATGCACGCTCAGAGCTGGGGAAGGAGGAGATTTAAATATCAAAATGGAGGAAAGAAATGTGGGGTGCTAGGGAGGGGCTTTAAGATGGATACAAGGGAGGTAGTGAGGGGGCATTGATCCCAGCGCTGCGTGCAAGGGTAAAAGCTGATAATGTCTGTTGCCAGTGTGCAGTGCACACTGATAACAGGTGTACGTTTTTTGCATAGAACTGTAATTGGGCAGTCCTGGACAGAGGTAGTAACTAGTCCTGGCACAAACCTGCTAATATCTCTCAAGCAGAAACTTTGCACAAGCGGATTTCTCTCACTATGACCACTTCTTAAAGCAGAAGTGATCATGGTGTTAAGAGTAACCCTTTTAATGTGCTTGGTGTATTCCTTTTTTAAGGTAACTATATCTTCCTAACTGCTCTACCCTACCCCAGGTGCCACAGTACAAGAGGATATTTCACCTTGAGGGTTTAAAAAAAAAAAAAAAAAAAAGGTTTTGTTAAAGACCCCACAATTGATTGTGGCACTAAAAGCGGCACTATCAGTCTGGGGATCTGGTTGCCAGGGAGGCAGACTAAGGTGAGTTTTACTTACCTGAACCTGCCCCTCGCGTGCGTGAAAGTACAGCATTGAAATCTCTAGCAAGATCCTCCATAGACAGAACTAATGGCAGGGAGATTGACACTTCTAGACAGCAATAGATCCGTCCAGGGTCTAGAAGTGTCAGGTGTAGGAAAAAGTAGTCTCCCAATGCTTTCCTATGGGAAAGCATTGTATTGGCGGAGCTCATCAAGATTGAAGATCTTACCCACAGAGGTGGGGCCAGGCATAGAACTGGAGAAAAGGTACTTTAATAAAAAATTTAAAATTGGTTGACATTTTATTTCCACAGAGGTGGAGACTGGGGAACTAAACCTGTATTCCAGCACTATAGTTGCAAGAATACATGTTTATGTTCCTGACATTATAGTGTTCCTTAAATCATATAGGTTAACTCCTATGTGGAGAACAATTTAAATACATCCATTATGTGTACACACATTTGCAGAATTACAATGGGATTAAGGTATTTTCTGAGCTTTGCTTATTTTACAACATTTTTGCTGTAATGAAGTGCATGTTATCTCTGCAGACACTAGTTCAATTAACTTGGATTAATGAATTTCATTTACAAACAATGTAAATATTGCATAAATATAAAGCCTCATGCTACATAATTAATCCATATTTCATGCTGAATAACCTTTTGGACGATAATGTATCTTTATCCTTAGTTAGATGTTTCATCCAAAAGATATCAGAATTTTTTTGTATGTGTGTGTATGTATGTGTGTATAATAATAATAATTTTTTTTAGATAAAGATAGATAGATATATATATTTCTCTTTATCTAAAAAAAATTATTATTTTTTTTTATGGTTATGTTCATTGCTTATTATCCATCCTGCTGAGACATTAGATGGGGATTTTTAGGAATGTGTGTATTTTGCCAAATTTTCATATAGTCATATATGAACGCTCATATTAATGGCACTAGTGATTTTTGAAAAAAAAAAAAAAATAGAATGTAATGGTGTTACTTTTTTAATTAACAGGTATAAATGCATAGATCAGTGGATCTTAAACCCAGGTTGTGACACCATTTTGGGTCCTGGTGCTCTTTATGTGGCTCCCACCTGCTTGGAACAGATGACACATTTTTACCAGGTTCCAGGCTAATGTAAACAATACATTGATTACTGTAGCATCACTGACTTCCTCGGTATAACGGTGACCTATCTGACACTGGGAGTTTACTGAATGAGTTGTGAAAAATTTGTTTGATGTATTTTGGTTTTCGGGCAGTGGAGGGCCCTTTTTTAATGTATATTGTCTCTTGACTTTGAAACCTCCTGTCTGCATGGGTTTGGTTTCATTTTGTGTTGACGTACAAAACAAATATAATAAAACTAATCTGCTTTGCTGCCCTCATCCTAAGACTAATTTATCTGCCTGTGCTTTGGTAAATTCTCTGCCACTTTTCATCACCTAAAAGACTATATGGAAAGTGATATTATACTTTTCTATGGATTGCACGTGAGCATACTAGAAACTCAATGGTACTATTTAGTCTGTGAGGCAAAGTCAAGTTTGGGCACAATAGCGATACTGGTGCTTGTTTTATCAAGGCAACTGTATTCTATGTATATGGCATTATTCTCATCAATCTATACTCTTTTCGATACATCTTAGTCCTTATTGCTATTCATTGTATTGCAATTTATGTGTAATTCTTCTGTTCTTAGTATGACTGTTGATTAGATGTTTAGGTTTATGAAATACTCAGAAGTGACAGAGCTTCTTTAATGTATATAATTATATTTTAGGTATACCTAAAGAGCAATTTAGGCATTCAAAAGTGGGATACTGAGAGGTTGGTTTTTAATCTAATTTTAAATGTGTATGTGTGTGCTAATATGTCTGACGAACCTCGTTACAAGCTTCTGGAGGAGCCTGCTAGTCCGCTTCCTGCCCCAGGATTATGGGCCATGCAACATACACTGAAAAAAGGCTTGGTTTGTGCAATTTTGCTTAGATTGTTCGGGAACTGAACAGCCGCACGAGTCAGAGATCACCCGGGTGCTTGTTAAGCCCAATTTATACTTTGTAGCAATTTCCACCAAAGTGTTCTAAGTGTTCGTCTGAGTGGCTGCATTTCATATGAACGACCATGAGATGGCGGCCATCTTGCAGGCAGCGGTGTTTGGGCATAAATCTCATGGAACTAAAATCGGACACAGAAACTCCCGAACACCGCTGGACTTCCATCATCGCCTGCGTTCGGTTCTACCCCACTTAGAAAGGCATTGTTCGGTGGAAACGTTCCCACGAACAAGGGGAACAGGCTACACAAGTAACTTAAGGATCACGTTCAGTGTTTTATGTACTTTTGTGCTCCCGAAAGAGAGCGACTGTTAGCCCTGATTTCCTGGAACTGTTTTGGGCGTAGGACCATGTGCACGGTTGGTCAAATAATGGACTTCCATGAAAATCCCGAAACCCCTGTACCGATCTGGGTAATTTGTGGATATGTTGGTCACCCACATCAGGGCTATCAAGGGATGTGACTTTTGTGGGGTTTTCATATGTTTTGGGGGTTTTGTTGTATTGTATGTTTTTGTACCTGAGAAAATTAATTATATGTTCATGTGCTCAGGTAATTATCTCTCCAGCACAGGGGAGGAGTGTGTGGAATATTTGATTGTAACTAGTCTCTCTGGTCCAGCAGGGAATGCCCCTGGAATATGTTTAAGGAAACCCCTTGCATGGAGAGTCACATAAAAGGCTCCCATTAAACACATTCGTTTTACCCCTTCATGAAATCTAGGCTCATCTTTGGGGGATTGGAGAGCTCTAATCACTACTCTGCTGGAAACAGGAGAGCTATAATCACTGCAGCAATTGGGATTCGGGAGACTACTAACGGATATACTCAGCCGGAGTATAGGGGGTCAGTTACAATGTCAAATTTCACAAAGTTGTGAAATGCAAAGGATCAACAAAGGGATTGCAGGTTTCAGGCCAAAATATTCAAGATGGAAAATGTTTAGTTAAAGTATTTTCCAATTAGGCTCTTTGGACCTTTTGATATTTTATCATTTTATCAATAATTCCCAATTTTTTTGAATGACCCTTTTCATAATGCATTAACCGTTCCTTTTTTTAATATTTTTTTCTTTATATCGTTATTTGCATCCATGTATGCGCCTGGCCACATCATAGGCTATATCCTAGAAATCTATTTAGTTCCCCATATACAAGTTACCAGTGGTGTATCCTGGTTTTGTGCTGCCCTAGGCAGGACAAAACTCAGGCACCCCCGCCCCACCTTCTAAATACACACACATTCACTGACAGCTACGCACACACTCGCTAACAGACACACACTCGCTAACAGACACACACTCGCTAACAGACACACACTCGCTAACAGACACACACTCGCTAACAGACACACACTCGCTAACACACACTCACTAAAACACACACTCACTAAAACACACACTCACTCTAACACACACTCACTCTAACACACACTCACTCTAACACACACACTAACAGACACACAGTCAGACACACACACACACTAACAGGCACACACACACTAACAGGCACACACACACACACTAACAGACACAAACTGTCAGACACACACACTAACACACACACAGTCAGACACACACACACACACACTAACAGACACACACACACACACACACACATTAACAATTTTTTAATTTATTTTTTTATTTACCCCCTCTCCCCCCTTACCTTTGGGAATGCTGGCTCCCAGCCTCACTCTGCGGCGCGCGAGGGAGCTGAGCGGACAGCTCAGAGGAAGAGCTCCCTCGCCAGCCTCCCGCCCAGCGCCGTCCGCCCACTCGGCATGCCTGCTGGCCTCGCGGCTAAATCGCCCCTGCAAGTTACTTGTAAGACTACAGAAAGTGTAGACTTAAAGCTGCAGCTATATTGAATTGTGTAAATGAAGACCGAGAGACCAGGAAGATCCTTGCATCAAAACCAATGCAAAGAGCATCGGCTATTTTGGTTTCTGGAGTCTCCCTTTAACCCCTTAAGGACACGTGACATGTCATGATTCCCTTTTATTCCAGATGTTTGGTCCTTAAGGGGCTAATAATGAACACTCTTGCAAATTTAAAAGGACATTTCCTCAAGGATTTTACAGCATTGTACTGCATTTATTTTTTTGTTTAAAAAAACAAAAACAAAAAAACCCTCTTATTGGATATTAACACTGGACATTTATTTCCATAATTTTAATTGCTGTTATCACTGTATGTAAGAAAAAGCAACTTTCTGTGTCTATGTATAACACTATAGCATCAGGAATACATGTGTGCATTCCTAACATTATAGTGTCCCTTTGGAGTAGACTTTCTTGTTTTGACAATGACAACCGTGATTACTCATTCTCAGATTATAATTAATCCACTTGTGTTTATATAAGGATATTTTTACAATTTGCACAGTTGGAGAATTGGGGACCAATATATAAAAATAAGTTTAGTGTGCTTGATGGCAAATTTAGGCTCAACCTCATAGGATTTGTGTTTCAGTAGCTTAATGGCAACTTCTGTTTTACTGCTTGGATGTTCTTATTTTTTTCTATTTTATGTGTAAAGCATATTGTAAAGAGATAGCAACTGATCTAGTTTTGATTTCCTGCAAAGTGATAACATTGCTATAGTTATAGTGGACCCTTATGCAAAGTCCCCAGACAGTTGTTTTCATTGCAAACCTTGAGCATGGAAAAAAAAAAAAAAGAGAATATTACTAAATGAACACTCCAGGAACCATTTTAGAACATTTTGACTTATCTGGGGTCCCCTGGGCATTGCTCCTAGTCTATACTACATCTTCAGAACCTGCTTAGCTGCTTCCGTTGGAAAGGGTCAGCAGATTGCCTGAAGTCAGTGAGCTAAGGTCTGGGCCACTGGACTCCGCTCAGACTGAGCTTCCGGAGGTGGGGAGTGGCATCCACCAGACTCTAGGTAAAAAAAATCTAACTCTTGCAAAATGCAACACACTGTTGTGGTTATTGTGCCTGGAATATTTCTCTTAACGTGCACACCGTTAATTTTTTTTCATTTTAAGCAACACATACTGCATTGTATGTGCTTCAGAGGCATATTGCCATATTTTATATCAAACTTGTTGATCTAGAATAAACTTTTAAAGATCATGTGTGTTTTTTTTTTTGTTTGTTTTTTTGCAGGGGGGTGGAGGGGTTAAATTAATTTATAACCTATTCTGCAGTACTTTCTCATGTGACATGGAGAATGTGTAATAGATTGTGTTGACAAATACATGTTAACAGAAATAAGTGGGTTGTCTATATGAATTTACAATATAGTACGTTTTCAGACAAAAATAAAAATGCTGTAGAAGACTACATACATTTTCCAGTTTGAAGCTGGATAGTGTTATACTTTTAAATCTTGTGGTTTTATTTTTTTATTTTTTATATATATATATTTTTTTTTTTGACATTCGAATGGAGTTTGAGGAAAGCAGCCTAAAGTAGCCAGACCTGAGCTTTCAGTAGTACAGTTGATATGCTAGTTTTGTTGCTAAATATAATTACAAAGTCTATGCAGAAAAGAAGTGGACAGACAGTTGCTGAATTTATAAGGTCCCGTATTACTCTGATTAGTCGCAGAGTTATTAGTTTTATGATCTGATGAAAACCTACCTTCCTGCCTCCCGCTTTCTTGTTGAACAGTGGTAGAATAGTACCCTTCCCTCCCCCACTTGTCTCGAAGTCCAATGGTTTGGTGCACAAACATATTAGCCACTTGTCTCTTAAAGGCCAAATATAAATCAACCTTTAGCCTTCTTGTCTATAATTACTCAATACATTCCACTCAAAATAGCTCTTACACACAAATATATATAGAGTAATTATTTTAAATAGAAGGTTCAGAGCAGGGCCTTGTAAGTTTTTTGCTTAGTTGCTCACAGTAACACAGTGATTGGTTTGGGATGATCATTTAAGTCATTAAACATAACTTTATACACATCTCAGGGCTTGACAAATTCGCTTAGAATCTAGGAGCCAGCTACAAACTTTAGGAGCCATTTTTTTTCCAATGACAAAAAAAAGCATTCTAAAAGTGACACTATAGTCACCAGAACCACATCAGCTTAGTGTAGTGGCTTTGGTGTCTAGACTGTCCCTGCAGGCTTTTCATTGTAAACACTGCTTGTGTTGACATTGCAGCCTAGTAACACATCTAGTAGCAGTCACTCAAACGGCCACTAAAGTGTCTCCTATCTCAGTGCATGCATTCAGCATCTCCACGCTCTGCATGGAGGCGCTGAACATTCACCATAGAGATGCATTGATTTAATGAATCTCTATGAGGACATGCTGATTGGTGCAGCATTTTGCCGTGCATGCTCATTAGCGCCCAATGCTTTCCAATGAGAAAGCATTAAATTGGTTGAGATCATCGAGATTGATAATCTCAACCATTCCCATGCGATCTGAGGGGGACTGGTGACCTAAACATACACATTCACACATTCACTGACACACCCAGACAGCCGCACGCACAATCATAACTATTCATTATCACATTTGGGGTTTATACCTATTTGTGTGCAGTTTCTAGAGCAACTATGAAGTTTTGTGTTCTTTTAAAATAATTTTGTTAATCAAAATCACAAGGAATAATTTTATTTGTGTGTGTTTGATTTAGGACAAATTTGCCAAACTGGAAAAAGCTAATGTGAATGTTTCCAGTTCTGCTATTATGGCCTTAAAGGACCACTCTAGGCACCCAGACCACTTCAGCTTAATGAAGTGGTCTGGGTGCCAGGTCCAGCTAGGGTTAACCCATTTTTTTCATAAACATAGCAGTTTCAAAGAAACTGCTATGTTTATGAATGGGTTAAGCCTTCCCCCATTCCCTCTAGCGGCTGTCTCATTGACAGCCGCTAGAGGCGCTTGCGTGCTTCTCACTGTGATTTTCACAGTGAGAGCACGCCAGCGTCCATAGGAAAGCATTATGAATGCTTTCCTATGTGACCGGCTGAATGCGCGCGCATTCAGCCGACGGGGAGGAGGATCGGAGGAGGAGAGCTCTCCGCCCAGCGCTGGAAAAAGGTACGTTTTAACCCCTTTCCCGCTTCCAGAGCGGGGCGGGAGGGGGACCCTGAGGGTGGGGGCACACTCAGGGCACTATAGTGCCAGGAAAACGAGTATGTTTTCCTGGCACTATAGTGGTCCTTTAACTTTGCAGTTTTGACAATTTCCTACTTTAGTGACTAACCCTAAAAGTCTAAAATAAACCTCTTGTTTGTGATATGTATTTTTTTCTGTTTTTATTTTTTTAACTATCAGATCTGATCTGTAAACTGAGATTTAAAAAAAGATACAGCGATAAGTTTGGCTTCAAGCATATGCATATTTATTTAATGATAAAGTTAATTGTACTATGGTCTTCTTCTACAACCCACTCCTTCTGTTTTGCTTTACCGCAGAATGTGCCCCATAATGAAATGTGGCCTTTATTGAAACCTCATCTAGTACAAAAATAAATTGGGGACATTGGTTTGTCTTCTGTCTACACAACAGTTGCCATGATGGTTACAAATAAATATCTTATCAGGCATCCGGACTACAGTACCTTTTTTCTATAGGCACATTGTTTTCTAAAGATCTGTATGCTGAAAACAATATAAAGCAAACCACAGCAGTAAATTATGAAAATCTGTATATTTGATTCAGAAAAAATCCTCAAAACAATGAAATGTGATTTTTGTTACTGTTGATTTGTTTACAGAACCACATGCAATGTAATGTCAGAGTTTTTCAGCAAAGCGTGAAATTTGCATGAATTTCCAATTTTTGGTCAAAATAGACTAATTGAAAAAAAAAAAAAAAAGAAGAAAAATCAACCATTTCCAGTTCAGCTAAAAATGTTAAATACACTCTGAATTCATACCAGTTCAAGGTAAAAAATTATTTTTTTTCTTTGCTTTTTTTAATTTTATTTAAATTGGATTAATTTTATTAAAAGGCTACATTATAGCCCAGTGGTTATAGAGCATTAAACCTTGGTTAGTTTTGCAGCATGAGACTTTTTTTTTTTTTTAAAAAGGGACACTAAAGTCACCAGAACAACTACAGCTTAATGTAGCTGTTCTGGTGAGTATAATTGTTCTCTTCAGGCTTTTTAAATGCAAACACTGCCTTTTCATAGAAAAGGCAGTGCTTACATTGCCTCTAGGGACACCTCCAAGTGGCCATTCCTTAGATGGCCACTGGAGGTGCTTCCTGGGTCAGTGCTGCACAGTAAGCTCTGCATGGAGATGATGAATTTTCCTCATAGAGATGCATTGATTCATTCAATGCATCTCTATGAGGAGGTCCTGATTGGCCAAAACTGCATTTGGCCCCGCCCCGCGCCGATTTTAGCCAATCCAATGCTTTCCCTAATGCAAAACATTGAATTGGCAAAAAATCGCCCATTTTGATGGTCACAAAGGGGGCGGAGCCAGCGCCAGCAGACCTCTAGGGTCAGAAATATGTTTGTGTTCCTGACCCGATAGGGATCCTTTAAATCTAAAATAGTCTTCATTTAACAAACCGTATAACAGGGTGATGTAAATTTAAATACCTAAAAACTAGCTGCTAAAAGGCAATGTACACTTTACCAGTTTATTCAATGTTTACAGTGTATTATGTAAAGTTGCGTTGGAAAAAGTTAGCACAACTTAGGTCATGGGTTGTATGTAGCCCTCAAGCCTGTGTTCCTGACCCTATAGAGTTCCTTTAATTTGTTCTACAACTATGATTAACCAATTAAACTGGAGATAGGCCACCTTGCAATGATTTCATTATTATCTGTTTATGTATATCTAATGGTATAAAGCAATATCAGTTCTACTTTAAGCTAATTTGAAAAAGATAATCTTAATATGAAATCTTCATCTGGTTCCAAATACTAAAGATTATAACAAACAGCAAGAATGAGTCTTTTACACTTAAAAAAAAACAAAAACTAATAAACCCCCCCCCCCCAAAAAAAAAACCTGAGATCAAGACTCTCACTACTAATTTCAATCATCATTGAAATAAACTTGATTAAAATTAAATTGACATTGTAACCGTTCACACTTCAGAGAATAACCCTATATAACTAAATATAAAAACTGCTTATATTCCTCTGTTCCTGTGTGTCCAATTTGACAGGTTACAAATACTTGTCTGTTAGTCCACCCATTGTACAACGCTGTGGTATTTGTTGGCATTTTATAATATACTTTTTAGATATCAAATTGTCTGGCTGTACTCTATGTTGCCATGTCTTCTATGGCTTCCTGAAGGCCTTAATTTGCATATTTAAAAAAAAAAAATCTATATATTCTCTTAATTTTTGCTTCATTAAATGAACAGAGTGCACAGATGGCAAAAATATGTATTTTGTGATCTGTCATAAGCATCATGGTCTGAAAAATTTAATTGTACAAATGGTTGCTACAAAAAAAAGTGTTCATTTCATGCCTGCACCAGTTTCTCGCACATAACCATTTTCTTATGTAGAAACTGTTACTCAACATGTCTTCTCTTCTCACCCCCTCCCCCAATCTTATCTGTAGTGCACCAAAATAATTAGTCATTCTGCCACATTTTATGCTTCTTTTCAATTTTTATTTTTTTGACAATTTTACCATTGATTACAAAATAATATAAATGAGTAATCTTAAGAAATAAAAATGTTTATTTGTTTTTATACATTAAACAAAAAGGAAAAAATAGGGAGCAGTTTACCTGTCTGCAAAGCCTGACAATCTTGGCAGTGGTGGAAAAATCTGTCATGAAGTAAAGGTGCACTTTTTTTTAAAAAAAACTTAAAAAAAAAATTTTTTTTAGACATGGGAAGTGACACATTTGTGATGCATTTCTTTGTGAACAAATTGGAGTAGGAAAATAAAATGACAGCAAAGTTGCCGTATGGGATATTTTGGCTCAGATAGAAAAAGCACCAGGAAAAAAAAGACCTAAAAGTCCATGCAACACTTAAAGGACCACTATAGTGCCAGGAAAACATACTCGTTTTCCTGGCACTATAGTGCCCAGAGGGTGCCCCCACCCTCAGAGTCCCCCTCCCGCCCGGCTCTGGAAGGGGGAAAGGGGTTAAAACTTACTTTTTTCCAGCGCTGGACGGAGAGCTCTCCTCCTCTGTTCCTCCCCGCCGGCTGAATGCGCACGCGCGGCAAGAGCTGCGCGCGCATTCAGCCGGTCGCATAGGAAAGCATTTACAATGCTTTCCTATGGACGCTGGCGTGCTCTCACTGTGAAAATCACAGTGAGAAGCACGCAAGCGCCTCTAGTGGCTGTCAATGAGACAGCCACTAGAGGATTAGGGGGAAGGCTTAACCCATTAATAAACATAGCAGTTTCTCTGAAACTGCTATGTTTATAAAAAAATGGGTTAACCCTAAAAGGACCTGGCACCCAGATCACTTCATTAAGCTGAAGTGGTCTGGGTGCCTAGAGTGGTCCTTTAATGCACAGTCTCCATTGTATGGAGGAACCAAAATAAATCCACTGTAGGCAAACCAAAATGAATACAAACATCTATTTAGAAACCCCTCATGTTGACTTTGAGATTGTTAAATCTTCTAAAGATAAAACCATTTAAAGAGGTAAAGTCTTCTTCTGTTTAACATCTCTATAAATTTACTAATTTAAGGAACACTAGATATACAAACCTGTGTTCCAGATGTTCTAGTGCGTCTGTCCCTACTTGTATATAGTTGTCCCACACCCCCAATGTGCAAAAAATGAATAAAATAAAACTTGCCTATTTCCAGTGTCAAGGCTTCCTCGGCATTGGTCACCTCTCCGCCATCGAGGAGACATGACCTCCTTTGGAGATATGCAGACCTGATGCTCTTGCGCGGTTGCTAATGCATCAAATCTTCCCCATAGGAAAGCAATGTATTCAATGCTTCAATATGAGCTTCTGTGTAATGTTACAGTTTTGCTCTCTCAGTGCAGTGAAAACACCTAGTAGAAGACCATTTTGTTTTTTATTTGCAGGGTTAAAAGGACAGGGCCACTGCACCAGACAAAGTCATAAAGGTGAAGTGGTCTGCGTGACTTTAGTGTTCCTTTCCTTTTAAGTGTTCAGCCACACAGAATCAAACATATCAATCAGAGATATATAAATCTTTGGGGGAAACCTGTTTTTTTTTTTAATGTGGTACTGTGCAGTACTTCTCAACCTTTTTTTTTTCTCTCTCTCTTCTCTAAGAAGCATGATATTTTTCCAGCCATGTACCCTTTTTGTCACCTTTTTCGTACAGCAAGCCTACATGATCGAAACATTTCTCTTGAAATATTACCTTCCGAAATGAAACTGCTGCTTACCTCATGACCATTTTTGGTATGAGGATACATACCCACAAGCTAAGAAACATGGGTGCAGACTACAATATCTGCAAAGTATTTTATTATTTTAGATTTATATTTTTCTGCAATGTCAAATTCCAATTGGATAAACTAAATGATCAGTTAGTTGAGATGCCACCATTTGCAGATTATTGGTATTATTTGTGCTTTTATATAAGGCCTCCTTTTGTAGTGTACAAACAAAATTCTAGCTTGTCTGATCTGAGATCTTTGAGGAAGAATGGAGGAGAAGGCAGGCACACTCAAGTAGTGTGTGTTGCCACTCGGTTAGCTCAGTGGAGCTAGTCGAAGAAGCAAACCTCCCTGGCGGTCTGATTCACAGGCAGGGAGGCATTTTGTAATTTAATTATTAAAAGTGGAGATTTCTCTTTGAAATTACACTTTTAGATTACCTACAATTAATATAGTTTACTCCTTGGCAATAAAGTTCTACAGCAAACTTAAATCTACTTCTTGAACCACTATTGTGCCATTTTGAATATTTTCAAGTGTCCTTGCACTTCATTAGAATCCTGTGGTGTATTTTCTGTACTATTTTGAGTTTGCATATTTAAATATTTAGGGTAATTTTGTGGCAGTAATGAGTAAAACTTTAGAAGAACATTGTCCTCCAGATACAAGGATACCTCTGAATAGCCTCAAATACTTATGTGATAGCCACAAGGTGTGGGCATTTGACTTCTGAATTGCTTGAAATTAAAGTTTAAAAAAATTCCCAAACTAAGCCTGAATTAAAGCAAGCTGGCCCAATTGCAGCAAAATCAAACAAGAAGTTTAGTATAGATGTGAGTAAATAATAAGGAAATGGGGGTGTCCATTGCAATATTAACCATAGGGAGCCCTGCAAGATGGCAGGAATCAATGCTTTCCTATGGAGAAAAATCTGACGCTGGAGGTTCTCACGCAGACCTGGACGACGTCAACGTCCGACGCCGGACAAAAGGTCAATTTTAACTCAGGAAGCCCTCTAGTGGTTGCCTGGTAGACAACTGTAAACATTGCATTTTCTGTTTAACTGCAATGTTTAACATTGCAGTTCCAAAGTGCAAAAGGGACACTGCACCCAGACCACTTCAAATGAGCTGAAGTGGTCTGGGTGCCTACTGTGTCCCTTTAATTGGGCGAATTCAGTATTTGATCAAGTATCATAAGGATCCCAAATTGCTTTACTGAAAATCTGTTTCAGGCAAATTATTGTGCTTTTCAGGACACACTTGAAAAAGAGAACTACTATGTATCCTGGTGACGTATTTAAATTAATTTAGACCAAAACCCATCTGATTTCCAAAAGTCTTGCCACATTTGCCCACTTGGGAGGGAGTTACTCTATTATTTTTGTACATGAACCTCACAAACAAAATAAAACCATTTCTTACAAATGTATCTCCTGTTTAGCTTTTAATAAAAACCGGCAGATAATGCAATTCATTTAATTATATTATTAGTGTTCTTTGACAGATTAATAATTAATGTGACTTGTATAAAATATGCTGCATTGTTCATTAGGCCAATATGTTTGCAGTTCTCTGCTGGGGGTCATTAGAAAAACCATCCAGTCACACAATAAAATATCTTCTTATTTTCACTTTTTACAAGCACTCATTACATTTGATTTGTACCATTTGCTGAACAATTAAAAAAAAAACAAAAAAAAACATCAAATTTAGGCTATACAATATACTGTTACACAATACATACAGTCCCTCTTTGCCCTTTTGAATTGTGAATAAATAAGCTGGAAAAATCAAAGGGTGATCAGCCACACCACATGTTATAAACCACCTAATGATGATATTGTTGAAAGCCTTTGACCCTTACTCGTTGGTCTCTTGGTATGTATTTTTGCTGTTTTTTATTCATGTAACACGTTACTATTGATGGGTGCATGTCATTATTATTTTTATTTCACTTGGGTTCTTGTGTAGTATGCTTTGTTTTTAATTTTTTTATTTTAGTGTGTGTATATGTATGTATGTATATATATTTATTTTCGTGTTGGCTTAGGATATTTATTCTGATAGTATGCTGAGATATATTTATTTGATTAAAAAAAAAACTTTAAGTTTTCACTGGTTGTCCTCGTTTCCACGTTCATTTATCATTGAGGAAGAACAGCTGTTAGAGCACATTGGGAAAGCTGCACATCTGAGTAACACGTTAATTATTGGAGATTTTAATTATCTTGAAATAAACTGGGATAGAGGGACTAGTAGTTCAGCAAGGGGAATCAGGTTTTTGAATTTGTTAAATGACACAACTGGTGTTAGAACCAACAAGAAAGGAAGCTTGTCTGGATCTGGTTACAACAAACAATGACAAACATTCAAGTAGAGGGGCAATTGGGAAATAGTGATCACAATATAGTTTCTTTTTAAATAAACTCAAAAAAGCAAATGCACATGAGGTATACTAAAACATACAATTTTAAAAATGCCAATTTCAATAAGATAAGGTCAGGTTTACATTATATTGACTGGCATACAGTCTTTAGTGAAAAGAAAACACGGAGGACAAATGGAATATCTTCAAACAAATATTAGAAAGGTACATGTCTCAGTATGTACCATTGGGTAATAAATATAAAAGAAACAAATTGAAACCATTGTGGCTTAGGAGGAATGTAGACCAAGAAATTAAAAATGAACAAAAAAGGGCATTTAAATCAGACAAATCCGAGACATCCTATATAATGCATAAGAAAGCCAATAATGCTTGCAAAAAGGCGATTAGATTGGCTGAACTAGAAAGTGATAGCCAAAGAAAGGAAAACCAACCCCTCAAAGAATTTTAATTACATGCATTCCAAAAAAAATAAAATAAAGTGTAGGTACACTAAAACCAGAGATGGGTGTAGATCAGGAAAAGGTAGACATTTTAAAAAACTATTGTTCCTCCGTATATATTCAGAAGGAATCTATGGCAAGAAATATGCAAATCTATTGCTGCTGAAAAATTGTGATTGGATGACTCAACATAAGGTGCTGCTTTAACTAAAGAAAGTAAATGTAACAAAACTCCAGAGCCTGACAGTGTTCACCCATGAGTACTTAACCCCTTAAGGACACATGACATGTGTGACATGTCATGATTCCCTTTTTATTCCAGAAGTTTGGTTCTTAAGGGGTTAAGGACTTAAGTTTGTAAATTAATGAACCTCTGTTTTTAATCTTTCAAGATACTTGTACTGGATTATTTGGGGGAAGGCAGATGTGGTTCCTATATTCCAAAAGGGGTCCCGGATTCTCCACAACCTGTAGGAACGCCGTGAAAGAGGGACCTGTAGAGAGGATGAATGTAAATTTACACGGCCTCATGACTTAGGCCGAAACATGGCCTTTATTTGTTTTTATCATATGTGCACCATAAACCTAATGATAGAACTGTGCAGCCTGTGGATTTTATTTTGGCACTATAGGAAGAAGGCAGGCAGGCTGTGGGCAATGTTCTGCTGGGAAACCTTGCGGTCCTGGCATTTGTGTGGATGTTGCTTTGATACATACCACTTACATAAAGATTGTTACAGACCACGTACACCCCTTCATATGCTCCCTGAAAGCACTGGTCTCTTTTAGCAGGATAATCCACCCTGCTACACTGCAAAAAAATGTTCAGGTATGGTTTGAAGAACATGAGAGTTCCAGGTATTGCCAAATTCCACTGATCTCAATCCGATTTGAACATCTGTGGGATGTGCTGGAAGAACAAATCCAATACATGGAGACCCCAGCTTGCAACTTGCAGGGCTTAAAGGATCTGCTGCTAATGTCTTGGTGCCAGAAACAGGACACAGGACATGTTCAGAGGTTTTGTGGAGTCCATGCTTTAATGCATCAGAGCTGTTTTGGCTGGGGGACCTACATGCTCAGTGTTTGTGCGTGTGTGTGTGTGTGTATATAATATTAGAGAGATAATGACTTTTAATTACTTTTATGGATGAATGAGCAATTTGTGCTGATTCTTAATTACATTAAACCTAAATTATATTTATAAACCTGTTTGTTGCCCGAAAAGCCTGTGGCAGGAATATTCATCTGTCACAGCTTTGCAATGTGTTGAAGAAAGATTAGGGATTTAATTGCTTTACAATATCAGTATTTAAAAAGAAAAGGGGGGAGAGGAGGCAACAAAGCATGTGTGGTCATCTTAGTGGTGCCAACTAGTTTTTAATTACCTGGATGCTTTGCTATTGAGAGTAACCGTGACTTTGTTAATGTAATAGTTGAGATAATAGAAGTGGGCATCTTTGCATGTTTTTTGGATGGCAACCAATGTCTCATGCGTGGATGGCTATCAAAGAAACAATCTAATTTGCCGCAAATTGTCCCTGTTTCCATGGGTCACAGTACGCGTATTCGATGTATAAAAGAGGAATTGCTGTGGTGATGCAGCCAGTGTTCCAAAGGTGTGCGTGGGGTCATATGACGTGTGCATATTGAACAAAAGTCTTTTGTATCATAAATATAGTGCTTAGACCTCAAAACAAAAACAGTAGCTGGATAAAAAAACAAACATGCTTCAATCCTAAAGGAAGGGGAAGTTGCGGGTTCTGCAGATGGTTTTGAAAGTGTCTGTGTGGAACAGCAAATTGGACTTTATCGTCAAATCGTTATTTGTAGGTTTTATCAATTGAATTTAGTTGAGTTGGAATTGACCTGCATGTGAACAAAGAGGATTTCTGGTATAAATTTTTTTTTTTTTTTTTTTGTTTGTTTTTTTGCTATGAAATCCGTACAAGGGATTATATAAAACAATTCACATACCATGAGAAGCAGCGAGTGGCTGGATGTCTAACCAATGAAGTATAAACTCACCTGCGTAAGATAAAATTGCTAAGCAGATACTAGTCTGTTGTGTTGTAGAAACACATTTTGGTCCTCCCCCTTCAACTTTTTGTGTTTAAAGCGAAGGCTGTTCCTGCCATACTTGCTTTATATCCTTACATATCTATCTAATCACTTACTCCTGATCTTGTAGAAATACTTTGCATTTCTGCCTATATATTGCTCAAGAATCAATTTCCTTAAAGGACCACTCTAGGCACCAAGACCACTTCAGCTTAATGAAGTGGTCTGGGTGCCAGGTCCATCTAGGATTAACCCAACTGCTATGTTTACGAATAGGTTAATCCAGCCTCCAAATCCTCTAGTGGCGGTCTCATTGACAGCCGCTAGAGGCGCTTGCGTGCTTCTCACTGTGAAAATCACAGTGAGAAGACACAAGCGTCCATAGGAAAGCATTGTAAATGCTTTCCTATGAGACCGGCTGAATGCGCGCGGAGTTCCTGCCGCGCGTGCGCGTTCAGCCGAATGGGAGGATCGGAAGCGGAGAGGAGGAGGAGAGCTCCCCGCCCGGCGCTGGAAAAAAGTTTTACCCCTCTCCTCTCCCCAGAACAAGTATGTTTTCCTGGCACTATAGCGGTCCTTTAAGCATCTTCTTAGTTGTATATTTGCATATTGTCTTTCTCTCTCTTTTTTTTTTTTTTTTTTTCCCTACCTTGGATGGTTTACCTGGAAACCACCATTGGCTTTAGAAGTTAGAGCAAAATTTTAAAGTACACAAACTAGCATTTTAGATCCATTTCCTCTGTTATATCTGGTGGCAGTCTACTGACTGATATTTACAAACTCCTTTTCTTTAAAAGTGTAAGAGAACAGGTTAAAAGAACATTCCACTCACTATGCGCTTAGAGCGAACAGAGGTTCTTACTTGGAAACTTTCGGCAATGGTAGTGGAGAAAGGAAGTGGGGCCCGGCAAACCCTTAAGTTAAATTGTGATTACTTAAAGGGGAATGCCAGGGCACTCCTGGCACCAATACCACTACATCTAATTGTAGTGGTTATGGGGCTCAGAGCATTCCTTTAACTCTTACATTGATGAATTGGCCTTTCTGTTGTCCACCAAAGGCTACACACTTGTTGCTCCAATCAGATGTGCTCATCCGATGAGATGGCTTCAGTCTTGGAATGTTAGCTGAAGCAAAAAAAAAGTGCGTTTCCTTGGCCTACAGATGTGCATTAAAAGCTGGGATAGACAAAAGCAGGCAAAGACCAGATACAAAGCTCACGTTACGCTTTGAGAGAGGCATCCTGCTATGTCCGTCTGAATTTAATAAAGTGACTTCTGTTCTCCCATCAGCCTTCCTTTGTTTATCTGCTGCTGCCTTTGTGCATGTGGAAATAGTCTCATTTTAAATAAATCTCTTTTAGAAGTACTGATCAAGAATTGCCACCATGGTACGTTATGCTTTGTGTCCCCACTGTATACACCATGCTTATTTTTAGGTACTTTCAAATTGTCAGTTTATGGCAGACTTAGGTCTAACAGAATTATACAATGTTTTAAATACAATCCATGTTATTCAGTCCTCTAAGTTTGGCTGTTTTGATTTAAGATTTTAAATTCACATTACATTTCAAGCAGTTAACACTTTAGTGTACACGCCTCAATGAAGAATTTTCTATTCCATAAAATATTAAAGGTGCAAATGATTATTGAAATACAAACCAGATAATAAAATGTTGTTGATATGGATTAGTGTTACTGGGGGCTAGAGCTATTTTAAACTGTATTTTTATAATCACTAATCTACAATATCCCAACTTCAAAGAAAAGAGTGGTTAACAATAAGATGCACCCATTTCCCATGACTATTTTTAACTGTGAAATCTTGGGTTAGAATTAAAAAATCAAAAGGACCGATAACATCAGTGCTGCGTTCATGATCTCCATGCACCCCACCAGGTGTACGGAGATCACGGGTTGGATAACTGATTTAGTACAGTACTTCTTATTCAATCTTTTATTGTGAATGCGTCAAGAATTACCACTGATAATGGCAAAACAAAACTGAGGCTTGTTGATGCTGATGTTAGATAAGGATGCTCCTTACATGACTTACTGGAAACAAATATAGGAGGAGCAAATCTTAAGTAATTGCAAACCCTGTCGCTGTGGACATAACATAAATACATATTTATATGGATTTGAAGGGAACAAGCCAAACGAGAGGAAAAAAAAAAACCTTGAGCTGTAGAGTGAGAGAGCATCTGAGATTACGGTGTATATAAAGAGTTCTTTATGCATATGGAAGTCCAGCAGAAGTAGTAAGGTGAACATTCTGCTTTTAAAGAAAACAAGATTAATATATATATATATATATATATATATATATATATATATATATATATATATATATATATATATATATTATTTTTCTTTTTTTTTTTTCATTTTCTTTCTTTTTAAAGCTTTACGATAGTTGAATTATGCTTTTAACACTGTTCCTTTATTTCAGCATCTATATCTAGACAAAGGGGTTCATTCACACAACCGTTAATTGTGGTGAATTGACCAAATGGCTTCATCAATGCCAAAATAATTAAGCTGGAGAAACACTCCAAATCAGCCATTTTGACCTAAATTGTGCAGTTAATTACTGTGGGTTTCCATTAAATTTATAGATCGGTCTCTTTATACCCCATCAGAGATGATGGATAAATAAATAATTGTTTTGGAATAGTACAAGAAAGGCGAATATTTTGTTTTAAAATGCATTATTCCGATTTGAGGCAGCTGATATCGCATAGGCTATTCATTGAACTCGGTATTTAACACACAAATGCCAAACTGGGGAAAAATAATTGAAACCTTGATCGTTTTACGGACCAACTTATTTTGGCCTAAAATGACAATGTGTATTGACATTTATTAATGAATCTTTGAATAGTGGATAATTGACAGTGGAATTGCTCGAGTTAAGCAACTGTGCCTATATGACCTGTGTTGAACTGAATTCTGACTTGGACAATCTATGCTTTTCACATAGTTGGGAATAGAATCTCCAACAGAATGAGAGTTTTTATTAATTTTTTTTTTCTTTGTGATAATATGACCTACGTTTTTGAGGCGCATCTTGCTGTTTCTGTAAATATTTTCTATTATTTCAGTTGACTATTAGCCTGCAGTAATCCATGCAAGAATTTAAAATTCAGATTGGAAACACCAAGTCCTTTATCATTTCACAGTATGTTTAATATCGATGGTAATATAAATTTAAGTGAGATTTATTAACAGCGTATTGACTTACATTGTATAAGAGGTTATAATCCTTCTTCCTGCATTATGTATGTTACTTATGTTTGTAGCATGTTTTATATCTACCAACACGACACGTAGTTTATAAAATATATCCCATTCTGTTTTTAATCCGTGTATTCAATATTTTGAACATTACTCTGAATTCCACGCTGCCCTGTATTACACAGAGGGCATATATTCCGTAGCACTGTATAAAGCAGTATGTTATGCATGTACTTTATAAGAAGCGTATTGATCTTCATTGCGTATGTTGTGTAGTGTGCGCATTATTAAATTTAAACTGTTATAACACCTCCTTAGGAAATATTATATAATTTATAATCAGCAATAAACTATACAATTTACTACTAATCCACCCCCAGTGCTTTCAGCCTCTCGTTGCCATCAAAATTTGACCGAAAGGCAGTTGAAACCAAATGTCGGCATTACCTGTGCAGCTGAAGGGGGTTCACAAAAAATAAATAGGGTGACTGCAGCCTTAGATGTATAGCACAGTAATAATGTAATCCCATTGTACAGCGCTACGGAATTTGATGGCGCTATATAAATAATAATAATCATAATTGAGCTGTAATGGCTAAGGGTGCATACAGATCCCTTTAATATGTGCATGTTCTATAATAGTGCACCACTCAACATGTTTTCTGCTCTTTAACCCCTTAAGGACCAAACATCTGGAATAAAAGGGAATCATGACATGTCATGTGTCCTTAAGGGGTTAAGAAGGGAAGTACATTTTATAAATGACAGAGAAATTAAAGAATATGGTAAATGTAAGGTATACCGTATGTGTACTTGCATTGCTGGTGATCCCCATTCGGTTTTGTATATTTATTTAAAATTTGCATTTAGTGGTTTTATTGCACTATTTTAGGTGTGGATGTAAGATTTTCTTCATACATTGCACTTATGCATTTGGTGGATGTGTTTTTGATTTTTCACTTTGTGTATATGGTCCTAGTGGTTGAATGTGTTGATATTTGCACCTTATGTTAATGACCCTTCTACAATTTGCACTCTTACATGGTCATAGATGTACACATGGTCTATAGATTTGCATACACATGATCTATAGATTTAAACTTGCACCTTATGCATATGGTTATGTGCTCACATCTTGCACTTTACACACATGGTCACTGTGCTCACGTCTTGCACTGTGTTATTGGTCAGTGTGTTTGCAACTTGTGTTCTGTGCGTATGATGAATGCAATTTGTTGAATTGTGGTATGCACTTATTCTCAAATCATAAAGGTGTATTGTTGAGATTATGTACTTTTTTGCACTAGATTGTGCCAAGTGTATTTGTAGTTTCATACACTTTATTTGCATGTTGTTTCATATTGGATAGATATTTTGCGTTTGGGTTGGGGGCTATAGGCTAAATAGCTGAATTGTATACTATTGGTGGCACTTTTGTATACTGTCTACATGTATTTGTGATCATAAAGTTGAATGCGAGTATGTTCGGACATTGATGGCTAAGCATTGGTCCATTTAAATCAGTGGTAGTCAACCTGGTCCCTAACGCCCACTGGTTGGCGGTTTGGGATTTCAGGTGGGCGGTGGTGGGTTCTGCAGAAAACGCCCAGTGGGCCTCGATGGCCGCAAACCAAGGCCGGTAGGGAAGATCTGTGTTCCTTCCATGAGCAGGCTGGTCAAAGCTGTGCCGCGCGTTACCCTGACAACCCTCCGATACAATGCTGGGCTTGCAGGAGGACAGGAGAGTCAGCCTGCAGCCAGTGGAGCTGCAGGCTATAGTGAACATGCCACCACTGGACCACCATGGATGGCAGCATTATGTCCCCACTACCTGGTAAAATGTAAGAAGAAGGGAAGGGGAGACATTAAGATAGATTTTCACCTCTCATCAACCTACACACACGCTACATCCATCACATACACAGCCCCCTACACACACTGCCCCCCCACAGACACACTCTGCCCCTTCACACACCCACTGCCCACTCACACATGCACAACATCTTCACACACACACACACACACACACAGCACCTCACAGACACACATAGAAAAAAAGGAAAGAAATAGATGCATTTAAGTACATATTTTAAATAAAAAACGCTCCTTTTAAAAAAAAAATATATATATATTTTTTTTTTTTAAATCACACTTGCGCTATAAGTTACCGCGGCACTGGTGGGCGGCAAGGGAATTTTACCATCAACAAAGATACAAAAGGGGGCCGGTATGTATTAAAAGGTTGACTACCCCTGATTTAGATCATAACCCATGTATCTGTGTAAAATGTTTGTGTTTTTATTAAACAGCAGGTCATTGGGAGTCTACAGAATTATGGGTTTGAAAAGGGAAAATAACTGTTCAGTCTGTGCTCGTTTATATATTTCATGTCGAATTCTGAGACCATTGTTAAAATGCAAAAAAGGCACATCAGCAAGGCAGTCTTTGTACTCGGCACAGAAAACAAGGTTAAACTTGAGAAAGACCCCTGTGTTGAGTGCTTTGCCTTGTTTGTGTGTTACTCAATAAATGTAGTGTGGTTTATTGAAAAAAGGTGTGGACCTTTTTTTCTCTTTTGGATACTCGGATAGTCACACATGCCCCCTCAAGTTTCCTGAATAATTTTGGGTGCAAACTGTTACTGTGTGATGGTTAATATTTATTGTTTTTGATAGTTGTTGAAACCTAGCTTTTCATAGGCGCTACATCTGGAACAAATGTTTAAATGTTTTTTCATTTGTGCTATAATCACATTTTTTGAGAATCTTTTGAAAATGCTGTAGATGGGGCAACTTTTATTTATTAAACATTATGATGTATAGTTATGTTAGCCTACTTGAGAATTTACTTAAATCTCTTGGGAGGGTCTATCATTCTTTGATCTTGTTTTAACTTTTTAAACGGTCTTCAAACACATGTTAATATGCAGTCATGAATCATGGTTAACACGTTATAATTGAATGGATACTTAGGGTGGTACATGCTTAAGTAACACAAACTGTGACTATCGATTTAGTCAAGTGTAATGGTTTAAATTGTATCAATTCAGACTGCGTACACTGCCCCACAGTTTATAACTTTTGTGACACCAGCTTTCGAGAAAGATCAAACACATAGAAGAACTTTTACTAATTCGGCTGGAATGTATGCCGTAACAAAGGCCAATGCCCACACCTGACATCATTATTTCTGTATTATTTCTTTCTTAAAACAAATAGTTTGGCAGACAAGAAAGAGGCAGCTTGTAGTTAGACCTCTTTTTTTTTTTTTTTTGGTGCGCCTTCATTCTTCGCATTATATCTGCATCTCGTATACATCAATGTATTGATACTCTGCGTTTTCCTGCAGAATATCAAAGCCTTTTTATAAAAAGACAATCACGGTCAATTCTTAGCATAGATGCATGACTAAGGTGTAAGCCGAAATGTTGTGTTTTTTTTGTTTGTTTGTTTTCTGGCTTGTAACAGAAGCTGCTATCCTGTTACGCAGTTTGACAATCGGCCTTGTCAGCTCTTAGGCCTACACATTGGTAGAAAAAGTAATTATAAGTAGTTTTTCTGGAGATCCATATCTGTGGATGTAAATGTGGTGTAAATCTGTTGTGTCTTCAAGTGTCACTGGTATCACCAAGAACTCTTGTTTCAGAAAGGCTAATGAAAGCTGCTGGAGATGGAGTTTCACCTTCATCGGCAAGATGCCATGCCATGCTATATCTCCATATGTGCAGTCTTTCGTGTTGATACTGCACGTACCGAGTCCATGCACCATGACCACTTCAGAACACTGAAGTGGTCATGGTGCTTGGAGTACCACTTTAATTTTGGCCCCTGCACCATTTTGGATATATTTGTCTACTTTTGTGTGCCTTTTCCCATAGAATTTGCACAAGCAGTTTATAAATTTAGAACACTTTTTTTTTTTTTTAATGATATATAGAATTTTTTAAACTCTAAATGCATATACATAGATAATATAATTTTATGATGGCTTGAAGTTAATCACGTTGCTTGTAATTTCCATTCTTTGCCATCCTGAGGATGCTCTCGCTGCTTTCTTTGTGTCACTGAATTTTTGTATGTCCTTTCTATGCTCTGGTCCTTTGTTAGCTACTATCCTTTTACTGATCTACCTGTGTTCTTTTAGTGACTGACTGAATGGACTCGTCAGATGCACAGGAGGAACGGGGATGCAGCCTTGGGAGTCTTCAGGAAGAAAGGTAATTCTAACTATCCCTTTTCGCTGTAGTTACACATATTCCCTCTCTGTACACCTTAGTCCAACTACTATTGGACTGTCTACTGGCTTCTATCCAGCACTTTCTTTTGAATTTATTTAAAAGAATTAGCAAATTACAGGACGATCCTGTTCAGTCCAAGACAAACATTGCAAATGAGGAGAAATAGAAACATTTGTTTTAATTTTCTTCTTGTCTGTATGATTTTTCTGTGCTGACTGCCAGGTTCAGACAGAGCTTATAACAATGATCGACAGGGAGCCAAGATGGAGGCACACCGTTGCATGATAAATTAGTAGTGCTCGTGCTGCCTGTAATGTACGGCTTATAAGAGTAGTGTTTAAAGAAATGCTCCATAACTACTAAGCAGTAGCTGCTGGCTCTCCTGGCTGCAGAGAGGAGGTGGTGAGCATCAACCGGCAGACCCCAGGTAAAAAGACAAACCATTATAAAATCAGGGCACTCTTGGCACCATAACCACTACAACACACTAAAGTGGTTATGGTGCTTGGAGAGTTCTTTTGCCACTGCTTTTATGAGCTGTACATTACTGGCAGCTCTATCTCTAAACATTTTGGTACTTTTGAACCTGAGAGGCAAACTTGTGCTTCCCTAAATCTATACCAGTTATCTCTACTTCTTTGTCAAGTAATTTCTTCCCTCAAACACACACACACACACTCACGACATGCTTTGTGATCAAGGTTGATGACAAACTGAACAGTGGCCAGTGTAAAAAAAATAAAAAAAATAATAATAAACATTGTCAGTAGTGTGTTGTTTTATTTTTTTTTTTTGTTGTTTTTTTTTTTTTACCATTTCACAATTAACCTATCGTATGTAGAAGCTTATGTCTCTGCGCCTTTAAGATACTATTTCTCACGAAGGGTGCTCTGTAGTGTCCCCTCCATTCCCTGGTGACCGGCGGCTGAGTGTGTGGAATGTGGGAGAGGCTGAGCACACTGAGTAAGGGTGGGGGCAGTCATTGTATTATAACAATGCCATGCTAGGCAGAGTCCCCACAGCAACCTGCAGGGCAGGAACAGGCCTGATTGGTAGGGGGGAGGGGGAGAGAAATGGAGAGAGGGAGGAAAGCAAAGCAAACACATCAAGATCATGAGATAGCAACGGTAAATTGAAATGACGGATCTGCTTACATTGTCACTGATTTTTCATTTATTTTTATGTACTTTTGACGGGTATTTGTATCTCTGTATTTGTTGTTGTTGTTCAATAGGTGTGTGCAGTTTTAAGCATGCAAGCCTGTGTGTGCGTTATATAGCTAGGTGTGTGAGCAAGCCTGCAGGTTTCTGGCAGCGGAACATTTTCACAATGCCCCATTGTGTCCTTGTCACACTTCCTTTGTTGTTTTGTCCGCTCATTGTTCTGCTTCCTTCTACCCCGACTGAGTGGCCTCTCCCTGCCTTGCCTTCACTGGGAGGGATCTTTACTTCCATCACTTTGTGCTAGAAGAGCCCCTGACCTGTTATATTCTCTGGAGACGTGACTGTGTTAATAAGGTGCAATGTTCTGCAGACCTTTGACATCAGGTATCGAGCTCCATGATTAACCACAGACTCTGACAGTAATTCCATAATTCATGCTGCAGACAGAACTTTCTCCCCAGTGCCTTTCTGCTGTCCCTTTAAATACCCAATCTTCTTGTGGGAGGGTTTTTTTCACTAAACCTTTTCCTTTCAATCTACTGTTCTCTGTCCCTTTTCTCATGCCTACTGTGTAATTACTTTGTGAAGAGCACAAATGTGCAGTTGAGTTTTTTTTTTTTTTCTCCCTCCACCTGGAAGTGGAGTCATCAGTTACTGAATAGCATAATAAATGTGACGATTCTGCAATGACCTTTGGCTTTCTCTGCAGATGTATTAACATAACCTCTAATCTAAACCATGTATTCCTTTTTTCTCTCACGAACGTAACTCCAACTAGATACTTTCTTCTTATTCCGTACCATTCTTCAATCTACCTTCCAGCACGCTCTACTTAAACTGTATTCAGTTGACACACCTACTTGTAAAACAATACTCACAAGGACACTGGTAAAAACAAATTGATCCGTCTCTGGAACATTTTATTGTATGTTATTTCAAATTGTTGGAATATTTGGGATCTGGAGAGAGGGGTTATAAGTTTATTGATTAATTGTTTTTGTCTTTGTGGGTTGTTTTTCTTTTCTTACATAAAATGTTCCAATCTTTTTTTTTTTTTTTTTTTTCCTGATAATCATGTGACATGAAAATAGGGTAATTATAACTTAAAAGGAGCACTATAGTGTCAGGAACATGTGTTCCGGACACTGTAGTGTATGGAATGTGATGGCGCTATATAAATAATAATCATAAGCTGACTATTTATGTCCACAGCTAACACTTACATTGCATGGGAAAGTTGTTTTTACTCACCTATTCTCCCATGCCAGGGAGATCATCCTTGATAATTTCAGTCAGTCCAATACTTACCCTTCGAAAAGTATTAGGAGGCTATTGCGCATGTGCGACAAAACGTTGTGCAGCGCCAATCCGTATCTCCTCACGAATCAATGCACCTCTATGGAGAGCGCTCAGCGTCTCCATGCGGACCGTCATTAGAGGTGTAACCTTTTCTCTGAAAAGGCAGTGTTTACATAAAAAAACCCTGCAGTGACAGGCATCGACTCCAGAACCACTACATTAAGCTGTAGAGGTTCTGGTCACTATAGTGTCCCTTTAAGAATTTTTCAGTTGTAATGACCTCTTAAAGTTGTTGTATGTCTGTAACTAAAATGCTTAAAGTTGCCTTCTAGACCAATGAAGTGGTTAGCTTGCGGTGATATTGTCCTTTTAACATTGCAATGTAAAACATTTAATGTTTCTAGTGAAGAGTTAAATCCACCTATAGTGGCAGTCTTCCTGACAAAAAAAAAACATGATGTGGAAATCCTCATAGGAAAGCATTGATCCAATGCTCTCCTATTAAGAAACTTGAATGCGAGCTTGCCATGCGTGTGCATTAGGTTCCCAACTCTCCTGACGTCACGTGAGGCAGATAGGTGAGTGGCTCCAAGGGAACCTTGCTTGATAGAAAAAGGTAAGTATGTGTGTGTGTTTGTTTTAAAGGAATACTATAAGTGTCAGGAATACAAAGCTGTATTTCTGGCACTATAGCTCCCTCTGCCTCTTTCCTATTTACTTACCCGATTCCAGCTCGCACTGTTACGCCACATAAGCATCAATGGAACCCAAGAAAATCACTGATTACTATAAACTAGTTAAAACATATTAGTATTGTTCACCTCACTGCTATTTTCTCCTCCGTTTGTATATGCAATGCTCTCATCTTAGAATTAACTCTCTTCCTTTTGTACACTGTATATGTATTTGTTCTTGTTTAAATAGATAATGAACTAGAAACAGTCTAAAATGTTAGTGATCCACTGATAACTAGCTGTACCAGTAAGAGTTATTCACTAAACCAGGGCTCGACAAATCCCAGACACCAAGTCGCCATGGCGACTGAACTCTTTCCTGGCTCCTTGTATTTGTCTCCTCCTGTCTCTCTATCTCTGCGCGCTGGGAGAAAGTGAAGGGAACTGTAACTACTTCCTCCCGGTGCTGAGACCGCTCAGGAAAAGAACAAGTTAACAGGGATGTCTCTGGTCGCAAAGCTGACCTCCCATTCTGCAGAGCCAAGCGCCCAACCTCCCATTCTGCAGAGCCAAACGCCCAACCTCCCATTCTGCAGAGCAGCCTGCACGCACCCTCATTCGGCAGAGCCGCACGCCAGCCCACCCATTCCCCTGCGCTGGTTTAGCGCTGGGAGGAAGTAATTAAGTTCCTTTCTCTTCCTCCTGGTGCACTGAGATACAGAAACTGGGGTGGGAGTCTGGATCAGTGGCAGCCCACTCCTATCAGCCGCATCCAGCCCCACTGTAACCTCCTCCCAGTCCCCCTGGACCCAAGGAAAGCCCCTCCTGCGCCCACAAGGTAGGTAAGAGGAGGATGCTAATATATGTGTATTTTTTTTGTGTGTTTTGTATGTATCTATGAATCTGCATGTGTGTGTGTGTGTGTATCAAAAAAAAAAAATACTTTGAAAGTGTGTGAGAGAATGTGTGTGTGTGTGTGTGTGTGTGTGGTATGTATGTATATATATATAATATAATATAATGTGTGTGTGTGTGTATATAGTTTGTGGTGTGTATCTGTCTGTAAGTTCATGTATATGTTTAGGTCACCAGCTCCCCTTTGGTCAAATGGGAATGGTGTTTTTACTTCCTTTTTTTCCCAACGACGTGCCCGTCTCGCTGCGGCTGGCACGCCACCATAGCTGAGATTATCAGTCTTGATGATATCAGCCAATCCAATGCTTTTCCATAGGAATGCATTGGGAAGCTGTGGAGCATGCGCAGCAAAATGCTGCACAAATCAGCATCTCCTCATAGAGATGCTTTAAATCAGGCTTCCCCAAACTCCGGCCCTCCAGATGTTGCTGAACTACAACTCCCATGATTCTCTGCCCGTCTATTTAATTCATAGAATCATGGGCGTTGTAGTTCAGCAACATCTGGAGGGCCGGAGTTTGGGGAAGCCTGCTTTAAATCAATTCATCTCTATGGGGAACGTTTAGCTCCTCCATGCAGAGCGTCGAGATGCTGAATGAAGACATGAGACTCTTTAGTGTCTAGATAGCAGAAACTTTAGTTAGGAGTTAGTTGTTTATTTTTTTCCAACAACAAATATACAATTCTTAAAGGAACATGCTATAGACACCAGAGCCATTAAATTAAGATACAATGGTTCTGGTGACTATAGTGTTCCTTTTAAGAATTGTATTTTTGTCGTTGGGGGGGAAAAAACTGTCTCCTAACTTTTTTTAGCTAGCTCCTATATTTACAGCAAATTTGTGAAGCAATGCACTAAACAATTAAATGTCAGGAATCCACTAAAAGAGCCAATGTGGAAACCTTCTCCTGCTGGGCCTTTTTTTTTTTTTTGGGCTAAATTACTACATTTCAGTGGTCCGTTCACATGTTTATATAATATACCATTTCATTTTTACCTTTTGCTGTTTGCCTATTTTGCATTGCTACAATTTAAAGGGTTACCACAACCACCATGACCACTACAGTGATTTGAAGTGGTCATGGTAGTAGGAGTCACATACTGAAATATTTGTAATTTATGCTGGAGGCTAGTTGCCCCCCCCCAGCACACGTGACCTTGGCAGCCTAGAACTCTGCCTTGGGTTGACAATGTCAGTTCTGTACTTTCCTCACTCCCAACATGCTGCGTTTGGAGCGAGGAGAGTCCATAGTTCGATGTACGGACCCGGTACCTCTGAAGGGCCAGGTTTCTCCCAGACCGGGAGTTGCGGGGGGGTCCTGGTGTTTTGCCGCTGCCCGCAGCGATGGACCCTCCGTCGATGTGGGCGAGGTCTCGGGGTCAAGCCCTTGGTGGCCTTCGGCCCAGGCAGGTGAGTAACATGCAGAGCAGTCACACGAGGGACATCTAGGGAGATTCCCGCACTCTCCGGCTCTCAACCGTCCAAACTGCCACCTGCAAGTGAGGCAGCATCAGTGCTCAGTCTCTCCAGTTCTGACCAAAAGAGCTGGAAATGCTCATCAAGACGCAGTAAGAATTGCTTCCCAGAGCTATAGGGGGCCATCGCAAGTTGCACATGCGATGCCTCTCGAGAGTAAGGCGCCATTGCCATCTTGGGTCAGTTCTTTGTGCACAGGGCTTAAGCAGGATAGAACTTTCGAAGTGTGGTTAGGCCACAGCTCAGGTTAGGAGGCAAGTGCTGTGGGGGCAGATTCAGGTAGTCCAGTGAATATCGGGATAACCCTTGCCGGTCCAAGTGGGGAGAGGAGGGTAGGGGTGCTTCAGGACGCATTAGTGGCTGATTTGCGGAACAATCGTCCCCTTCTCCCCAGCTATGTTGCAGCAGGCTGCAGCAGTGAATCTCTAGCCCCCAGTGAATGGCAGACTCCACTAAAGTCTCAGATTGTTGCTCTGGACACCCCTGATTGTGGTAGTGCCAGTTTGTAGGTTGGAATGCTGGTTGGCCGGGGTTAAAACCAAAAATTGGCCTAGTTTGCAGGAGCACGAGACCCACACCTCTGCTCTACTAGATGGCTAGGCTCTGCCCCCCAGCAAAATTGCCCTTTTAATTGCTTTTTATAATCGTAGCTTCAGAGTATTTTATCTTCATATAGCAATATTCCTTCATCAATATTCCTGTTGCATCAAAGCTTTACTCTTCTATTTTGGATTCATATGGAGTTTGTTTCCTTAACTTTTAACTGGTTTGAACCTATTCCATGAACACACAGGAGGCTTTCTATACATAGTAAATGGCTACATTCTGAAAAGCAACTGTCTCCATGGAAACCATTGCAATGTTCATACAGATTGCACACCGCCTCTAGAACATTGCCCCTGGATTACTATTGATATATAAAGCCCATTATTTACAACCTTACCTAATTGTATAGTAGCAGGCCCACTTTCACAAATAAGACATTTGCAACCCAGCAGAATTAATACTGCGAAAACCGTTGAAACACACAAACAATACTAATCTTTTAACCCAACCAGTAGAGTTAGAAAATGTACAGTTTTAAAAACTGACATGGTATCAACAGTGTGTGAATGTGATGGTTTATATTTGAGGCAATTTTGAAATGGCTCACCACCATCGCAATAACCTGATTTCGCCTCCTCTCCTAAAGAATATCCTTGAAAGTCCCAGTATCTACCATGGAAGGCTCGGGAGGAACCTGTACCAAAATGGAGGATGATTTTGAGCCAGAGGTTGTGCGGCATATGGTTGGACAGATGCCGATTAAACAGGACACGGATTCCTTGCCCAAGGTGATTATAAATCATTATTATATTCACTTTAGAAGACACGAGTAGTTTGGGCTAATAAAGCATTTTTATTATCTGTAATTTTTAAAATGTTATTTATATATTTTTAAGGGAATGGTGCATATATACACCCCAATTTACTAAGCAGTATATGTAGCTCTGCAGCTGCTGAAGTATGTTTTTAAAGATCTTTGATAATTTACAATCACAGGCTGACATCTAAACCTAACTGAGCTAAGCCAGGGGATCTATTTTCCTCACATTCATGTTGTTAATGCACAATGCCAGGTATAAGCCTGTCCGTTATATTTGCAAACCGCAACAATTTGTTGCTGTTGGCAGCTATAAACCGTAAAAGATTATTTTTACGGGGACACCCAGTGGAAGAGCCAATCGAGTGGTGAGCATGTACAATTCTTTTTAACTTCACTTTCACTGCCACAGAGAGAGCAGTGCATCAAGCTCCTCTCTGCTGGGAAACTGACAGTATTCTCACCCATTGAGACTTTACACCTGCTGTCACTAGGTGTAGAATATACGCCATTAGAAGTTGTCCCAACCTCCATCGTTAAATAATTCTTAGTTCTCAAAGTTAGACTTCGAATTTGTAGAGCTATAGCGCTACAATCGTAATCAGAAAAAAAAAAAAAAATGGAATCAGAAACAGCTCTGGTAAAAGCGTGGACGGTATATATCATCTCCTCAACATTGGAAAAGATGTGGCATTATTTCTACTAGGCATATCAAAACACTGGATAATTCAAAATTACTGAAGTATCCATCCAAATAAACAAAATGTAATAAATTGCAGCAACAGACACTAGAGCCACAGGTAGAGTGTGTAATGAAACCTGCCTTCCACCTATCTGGTTCCACAAATGTCCATACTTCTAGCATACTTCATGGGATCATAAAGTCTGGGTTCCTATAGTGTTCCTTTTAAAAAATGTCACATACACTTATCTAGAATGTACTGTCTATATTGTAATAAATGTGAATACAGTTTTGGCTAAATAAAGGGAAAAAAAAGCCGCATGCTGATTGCATTAATGCAAAGCGGTTTGACTGTGACAGTTTTCCCTTAAGAATTTATATACCTCGAGAGGCACCATTTGTTATTTTCCAAATCATTGACTGTTCTTTTCAACCACAGGATTGTTCATATCAGACAGAACCCAAGAGTGACCGTTCTGGGTCTCATTTCCAGGAGGACAATATGGAGCTAAACAGAACAGTAAGAGAGGGTAAGTATATCACCCGAACCACCCTTTCTATGATTGTTTTGATCACAAGATTACCATATTCTTTATATGTACATGAATAGGAAAAACCATATGCTGGATTAAAACATTTGCAGGGTGTTCTACTCTAAAGTAAATTGTACAGCCTCTCACATGGATTTCTGTGAAAAGTGAATTATTAGTTATAATTTCTGGTAAGTGAATTTTAATTTTATTATCCTATCTGTTTGTCCCCCCCACATTACAGCAATACCTGTACTGGAGAAACTTTTGTCTACCGATTGGCAGGATGCAGTTTTGGGGAGTTGTTCCATGGATATCAAAGATATAAAAGGTAGGACATAGGACATGTCATGGAAGGATTTGATTGGCTGTCTTCTTCTAGAATACATGGTAAAAAATAGATCAACACTAAACCACAATGCACGTCAAAGAGATTGCAAAGATGCTTGGAAAATGAACCCCTTCATGACAGGTGTACCAAAGTCGTGTGCCTGTTCACATAACACCTATGTAAAAGCATTTGCAAGTATTTTTTACAACGGACATTCAATGTCCGTTGTAAAAAATACTTGCAAATGCTTTTACATAGGTGTTATGTGAACAGGCACACGACTTTCAATTTTCAGATTTCTGAAAAGTGTTACAATTTTGTATTTCCAAATGTCCAGCCGAAGCTTGAATGCTCTTAAATGTTGTTGATAATTTAATGCAAACATTCCACTACACATGTTTCCGGCCAACTGGTCTTTACTGGGATATTGTGTTGGTACACAGTGACCATGTACGCTTATGATGTACATTTATCTGTTATTCCAGGTACCCAGGAGAGTTTAGCAGAGAAGGAGCTTCAGTTATTGCTCATGATTCGCCAACTAGCTGGACTGAGGGACCAATTACTGAATGCACATTCTGAGCATAGGAACATGGCAGCCATGTTGTTTGAAAAGCAGCAGCAACAGATGGAGTTGGCAAGACAACAGCAAGAGCAGGTGATGGCAGGCTGTAAATAAAAAACAAAAACAAAAAACGTGCCATCGTTTGTACCGAGTAGATTGTATGCGATGATGTTGTAGACGTGTAACATTCCTTCTCTCTGCAGATTGCAAAACAACAGCAGCAACTAATACAGCAGCAACACAAAATCAATGTACTGCAGCAGCAGATTCAGGTACTGGTCTGCATCTAATGTTAATATCACTATATACTACTTTTTACATGAATAATAAACACCCTCTCCCTGTTTCCATGTCTCTTTTTGCAGCAAGTCAACATGCCATATGTTATGATTCCAGCATTTTCAACTGCCCAGACTGTTCCACCTGAAACACAGATGGCGCTACCTATCCAGCCAATTCCTTGTAAGCCAGGTGCGCTCATTACTATTGTCTTGTGATATAGACTTGTGAATACAGTGTATTTAAAAACCGTAGTGGTCTGCATAAATAAATATAATGGACTTATTATTTTCAAGGGACACCGCACATTTCTAAAGCACTACAGCGTGCCGAAGTGATTTGGGTTTGAAGAGTGCGTCCTCTTTTTTTCAATAGAAATCGACCCTTTTATAAAGTAACCTGGTTACACCCTCCTGGCTGTCAACTGGTCCTGTTACTTCCTGGTTTGGTTAGCTCAGTGGAGCTAAATTCAAGAGGAAGGCAACTACTCAGAGCACCTGCCTTGCAAAGACTTTTCACTGAGCTGCATTGGGAAGTCTGTGATTGGACAGTCACAGAAAGTCTGGGTGGGGTTAGAAAGGGAAAGGTTTGAAAGGTCAGATAAGAGATCTACCTCAATGCTGTAAAAAATTAAATGCACTCTCTCTCCTCCCCCCCTCCTCAATTGAAGGTATATTTACTAAATAGTAATTGAGATATATATATTTATATATTTTATTATTGGGGAGGGTGTACCGTGAAATTTATTTGTGGTCAAGGTTTTGGGCATTATAAGATGTAGTGTTCTAATTGCATACTAGAATTGAATATGTAGCACTCACAGATTTGAACTTGTTTGATTACAGTTGAATTCTCCATGCAGATGCTTCACAACTCTTCCTCAGCAAGAGGTTCTACAGCCGGAAAACACCAGGTATGCTCCAACAGGACAGTGACTGGGGAGCAATGCGCTCACTTATTAGAATGGATTTTTCAGCATTGTCTTATTGCAGGAACCGTCCCAGCCTCTCAACTTAACAGCCAAGCCTAAAAGCACTGCCTCATCGCCAACATCCCGTGCCTCCCCAGGGGGCAGCCAGGGAAGTGGTGGCAGTAGGGATTCTGCACCCAGCCCACAGCGGGCAAACCTGCCTTTGGGTAAGGATAAAAGATATGTCTGTCACTGTACAACCCTTCATCACATCTGATAATGCATTTACCACACAATAAATATATGTGTGTGTATGTGTGTGTGTGTGTGTATATATATATATATATATATATATATATATATATATATATATATATATATATATATATATATATATATATATACACACACACACAATCCAGCGTACTTACTTATCCACTAAACAGTAACTTCAATGTTGACAGATTTTATTGTTTTATTTATTTTTATATATATATATATATATTATATATATTATATATATATATATATATATATATATATATATATATAAAAATAAACTGGTTAAAATGATATAATATTTCTATGTTTAAAACTGAAAATTAGGTTATAAATTTTAACCTGGAAATATATATATAAATAATGAAAAAACAATTTAGACACCGTCCTCTCCTCTGGAAAAAATAACACGTGTTGTTTTTTTTTTTTTCTGAGGAGAAGGTCCGGGGTTCTAGGAGAAGACTGTGTCTAAAATTTATTTTTTTAATATATATTTATTTCTAATATATCCAGATTACATTTTAACCTAAAATCCATTTTGGATGTATTATTTCTCTCTTGTATGGATCGGTAACTCATGTATACATGAATTTCCTTTATATCACTTAGGGTTTTTGGGTGACGGAGATGCAATCACCAAAGCCATCCAAGAAGCGCGACAGCTTCTCCATGGCCAAAATCCACCACCAGATCATCATGAGCATCACTACAGGAAGGTGAGTGAGTGTTCTACACTGATCGTGGTTGTGGCAGAAATGCCTCTGCCACGTGTTCTTGGAGGGGCCTGCTTGCCAGCCTCCTGCCAAAAGACTACGGGCCCTTTAAAAATTTATTTTTGTACTCCAGAAAGAGAGACCGACCGTTGGCCCTAATTCCTTGGAACTGTTTTGGGCATAGGACTATGTGCATGGTCGGTCAAAATTATGACCTCCATGAAAATCCCGATCCCCTAAACTGATCTGGGTGATTTTTGGATATGTTAGCTTTTGTGGGGTTTCCATGTGTTTTGAGGGTACTTCCGGAAGGTTGTTCAAATGTGTGTTTTCTGTGCCTGGAGATAATTGAGTTTAGTACCGTTCCTGACTCTATTATCTCTCAGGCACAGGGGAGGGATGACCCTGTTTTGTGTGGGAGTGTCCTGGACCTGACAGCCAATGTAAGTAAAGTGTGTATTTTGTCATCGTCCCCTCTCAGGTCCAGTGGGGGAGTAAACCCCTTGCATGGGGACCTGCATATAAGGCCAGTTGTGGCTACCATTAAAGGAGTTCCTCTTCACCCTCAACATAGAGCCTCGTCTCATGTGTGGAGGGGACAGCTATATTCACTCTGGGGATTGCTATATCCCTATACTACCTTGGATTACAACATTAGCTCTTGTAAGCGCCATCCTGCTATACTCTCTGGAGTAAGAGAGGTGTACCCACTGGAAACGGAGTCCCTAACTTGGATCCAGGGTAGGTGGAGGACAGTGAGACCCCAGCCAAGCTGCGGCGGCTAAGGGTCTATGGTGGTTATGGTGTTCCAGTGCGGTGCTTATGGTGCTCGCAAGTACTATGAAGCCGCGATTGGCGGAGGCACCCAGTTGGGATGCCAGGCGGTCCGTCACAGTGGTAAGAAAAGTGCTGCCAGAAAAGCATGACAGAGTTCTGGATAGATGCTTTAGGAAATTATTATATAATCTAAAATGAATTCAGGAAGCTGCACTCACTTAAACAGGCATACTTTATGAGCGTGCGGGAGACGGGGGAGACATATTTTATACATTTATTAATCAGGCACACAGTATAAGCTTTTGCAGCATTGGAAAAACTCAAGACAAAAATTCAGTTCTAAGTCCCCCAGCTTACATCATACACACCGTATGAGAAATCTTTCTTCATAGCTACAGGTATAGGTATTCTGATGAAAAGCAAGATATGCAGCTTATGGGCAGTAACACTCAGTTTGAGAAAGAGCAGTGGGTAATGCATGGTTATTAAAGTCTACAATGTAGTTACTTGAAGGGGGTTACCAATTTTTATTAATACCAAACATGCTGTGTTTTACAGGAGATTTTGGACTCTTTGCCAGACAAGGAACTGCAGGATGAGCAGCAGACAGAAGAATCTCTGCTAAGATCTGGCATTGACGTTGATGGTGAGGATGGTGAGCAGTAATGTATGATATACTTTTTTTTTTTTTTTCAGTTTGAGAAATGGGACACTTTCAAAGAACTCTGCCTTGCAGATGATGTCTCTCTACATCTATTAATGGTCTCTAGAATATAGGTCTGCCAGAGCCCCCCCTACATTATGTAGCTGAACAGACAGAGCCTTTGGGGAAGTCCTAGCAGAAGGATAATTTCTGTATACCTCATTACAAATGAGTTTGTTTTCTGGTCACTGTGTAAAGCAAATGTGTCGTGTTAAAGTTTATGAGTACCTTCCATCCAGTGACAAATGCTTGAAGTCTTGCGTTATTAATCCGTGTTTTTACTGTCATCCAGGATCTCGTCAATTCCCAGAGGGACGAGGAAATCACATTAAGCGTCCAATGAATGCTTTCATGGTATGGGCAAAAGACGAGCGGAGGAAAATCCTACAGGCATTTCCTGACATGCACAACTCCAGCATCAGCAAAATCTTGGGTAAGACCGCTTAAAGTGAACCTTTCACCATAATTTTTATAATAAAACATATACATACATATATATATATATATATATATATATATATATATATATATATATATATATATATATATATATATATATATATATATATATATATATATATATACCAAAACAATATTTTTTTTGTAATTTGTGGTGTTTTTTTTTTTCTTTTAATTCCCTTAAATAATATTTGGTTAAAACACAAGAAATATAATGGGGAAAATACTTATTAACTAACCTTTCATATTCTGAGTTTGTACCCCATTTCTTCATTCATTTCTCCAAAGCTGCCAGAACCAAAGGAAACTTAAAGGGAAAGCATAAACACCAAATTCACTTCATATATGCTGCTTTTCAGCGTGGCAGTTGAAAACAAGGAAATCTCTGAGAAACTGCATGATTTTCTTTATACAGTTGTCATTTATACAGCTAGGGTCTTCGGACTAAAATAGATTCAATAAGTGAAATTAAATCCAATGTCAGCAGGGACGTTGGGTGTGTACGTAAGATTTCTCCTAAAAAGCAATGCTTCTTAGAATAGATGCATACAGGGTTATTTACTAAAGTGAGAATTGTTAGGAATTCAAATAGAATTTTTTTAAATTTAAAGGAACACTATATAGGGTCAGGAACCCAAACATGTATTTCTGACCCTATAGTGTTAAAACCACTATTGAACACCTGTGTCCCCTCCTCCCTGTCGTCCTTTCTCCTCCCCCCCTCCCCCCCCAAAAAAAATAAATTTATATATATATATATATATATATATATATATATATATATATATATATATATATATATATATAAAAACCTTACCTTTATCCCAGTCTGCTGCTGGCTCTGCCCCTGATCTGCATCCTTGGCTGACGTGTTGTTCTGAGCTTATAGGAAAGTATTGGATTGGCTGATAATGTCAAGGAGGCAGATCAGAGGCAGCACAAGCCAATCTGCATCTCATCATAGAGATGCATTGAATCAATGCATCTCTATGAGAAAAGTTCAGTGTCTTCAAGCAGAGGGTGGAGATGATGAATGTCAAAGCTGCACAGTGTGCAGCACTAGATAGGAAGCCCCTCTAGTGGTCATCTGAGTGACTGGTACTAGAGGTGTTACAAGGCAGCAATGTAAACACTACCTTTTCTCTTAAACTGCAGTATTTACAGTGTTAACAATGCAGGGACATGCTATAGACCCTAGAACTACATCATTAAGCTGTCTAATTCTGCTGACTATAGTGTCCCTTTAATCCTAAACCTGTACCTGGCTTTACTGCTACCTTGTGTAAATGCCACTTAGAACAGTGGTTACATTTTTCTGTTGCAGGGCAAGGTTCAGGCTAAACATTTACTTTTCGTACTGAATATGATCTATGATTTGTTTTGCTGATACCTTTGATGAAATCTGTTGGATCCCTCCCTTTTAAAGAGTTGTTTTCTTATTCCTTACAGGGTCCCGTTGGAAGTCCATGACTAATACTGAGAAGCAGCCATACTATCAAGAGCAGGCACGACTGAGTCGTCAGCATTTAGAAAAATATCCAGACTATAAATACAAGCCTCGACCCAAGCGCACTTGCATTGTGGAGGGGAAGAGACTGCGAGTGGGCGAGTACAAGGCTCTAATGAAGAACCGCAGGCAAGACACAAGGCCTGGATATGTCCTTTCGTAAGTGTGCAAAAGACAAGTACTATAAATAGTGAATCTGTATGGGGAAAATTACAAACTCTTATCTTATCTTACAAGACTTCTGTTCTGACCCTAGTCCGTTTATAAAATTTCCCAATCGTGTAAGCAGATTATCACACAATTGTCACTCTAAGCACCATCATTGCTTTTGTATTATTATTGTTACTATTGCGAACGCCACAAGCACATTAGGCCCATTCCATAGGAAAGCATTGAATCAATGGTTTCCTAAGGGGTTCTCACTGACGCTAGATGTCCTCGGCAGAGCGTGAGGACGTCCGTAATTTAAGGGACCTAGATTCCGGCAAACTCATGGAAGTGCCACTAGAGGCTGTCTAGTGGCATTTAATGTCCCTTTAACCTCCCGCTCTCTAGTCTCCATGACTATAGTGCACTAGGAGGAAATGGCTGCAGCACATTCTGCCTGTTCATATCCTTGTTCTAGTAAGGGGCAGAACTTTACTATGAACGACTTATATTGCCAAAGAGTCATCTGGATGCATGGCATTCAGGCTAAAGAGGTGCATAAATAATGTAGTTAAATGGTTCAATTAAATATTTTTTTGAGGCGAAAAATCCATTTAAACCAAGTATCTACCAGTCCACGAGTATTCTTTATATCCCATTGCCTAAAATGTGTCTGTGTAATCTGATAAACCTGTTGTATGTCAGTGTTAATTATATTTGCATATTCCAGATCCTTTTCTAAGTTATGTAGAACCATGGTATTTCCAGGACAATAGGCATTTTGGCTCTCTCTACTCTATCAGTATAGACATTTTATTTAGATTTACAGTGCCTTGCAAAAGCATTCACCCCCCTTGACTTTTTACCTATTTTGTTACATTACAGCCTTAAGTTCAATGTTTCATTAATCTGAATTTTATGTGATGGATCAGAACACAATAGTCTAAGTTTGTGAAGTGAAATGCGAAAAATATATACATAAAACTATTTTGTAGAAATAGAAACAGAAAATTGGCATGTGCGTATGTATTCACCCCCTTTGTTATGAAACCCATAAAAAGCTCTGGTGCAACCAATTACCTTCAGAAGTCACATAATTAGGTGGAAATTATGTCCACCTGTGTGCAATCTAAGTGTCACATGCTCTGTCATTACATATACACACCTTTTTTGAAAGGCCCCAGAGACTGCAACACCTAAGCAAGAGGCACCACTAACCAAACACTGCCATGAAGACCAAGGAACTCTCCAAACAAGTAAAGGACAATGTTGTTGAGTAGTACAAATCCGGGTAAGGTTATATAAAAAAAAAAAAAATTTAAAAAAAAATTATCCAAATCTTTGGTGATCCCCAGGAGCACCATCAAATCTATCATAACCAAATGGAAAGAACATGGTACAACAGCAAACCTGCCAAGAGACAGCCGCTCACCGAAACTCACAGACCGGGCAAGGAGGGCATTAATCAGAGAGGCAGCACAGAGACGTAAGGTAACCCTGGAGGAGCTGCAGAGTTCCACAGCAGAGACTGGAGTATATGTACATAGGACGACAATAAGCCGTACACTCCATAGAGTTGGGCTTTATGGCAGACTGGCCAGAAGAAAGCCATTACTTTCAGCAAAAAACTAAATGGCACGTCTTGAGTTTGCGAAAAGGCATGTGGGAGACTCCCAAAATGTATGGAGGAAAGTGCTCTGGTCTGATGAGACTAAAATTTTACTTTTCGTCCATCAAAGAAAATGCTATGTCTGGCGCAAACCCAACACATCACATCACCCAAAGAACACCATCCACAGTGAAACATGGTGGTGGCAGCATCATGCTGTGGGGATGTTTTTCAGCAGTTGGGACTGGGAAACTGGTCAGAGTTGAGGGAAAGATGGATGGTGCTAAATACAGGGATATTCTTGAGCAAAACCTGTACCACTCTGTGCGTGATTTGAGGCTAGGACAGAGGTTCACCTTCCAGCAGGACAATGACCCCAAACACACTGCGAAAGTAACACTTGAGTGGTTTAAGGGGAAACGTGTAAATGTGTTGGAATGGCCTAGTCAAAGCCAGACCTCAATCCAATAGAAAAAATCTGTGGTCAGACTTAAAGATTGCTGTTCACTAGCGCAAACCATCCAACTTGAACGAGCTGGAGCAGTTTTGCAAAGAGGAATGGTAAGATGTGGCAAACTCATAGAGACTTATCCAAAGTGACTTGGAGCTGTGATTGCCGCAAAAGGTGGCTCTACAAAGTATTAACTTTAGGGGGGTGAATAGTTATGCACATTGACTTTTTCTGTTATTTTGTCCTATTTGTTTGCTTCACAATAAGAAAAAAAATGTTCAAAGTTCTGGGCATGTTATGTAAATTAAATGATGCAAATCCTCAAACAATCCATGTTAATTCCAGGTTGAGGCAACAAAACTCGAAAAATGCCAAGGGGGTGAATATTTTTGCAAGGCACTGAATCTGCTTTGAACAACTTAATGATATAAAGACAAGATGCTATTTTAGAGTTAATGTTTTTTTGTTCTATTTTTAAAAGAATACTATAAGCCGTGGAACAACTTTAGCCTAATGAAGCAGTTTTGGTATATAGATCAAGCCCCTGCAGTCTCACTAGTCCATTATCTTCCATTTAAGAGTTAAATCAGTTTAGTTTCTGCTTATGCAACCCTAGCCACACCTCTCTTGGCTCTGATTTACGGCTAACTTGAAAAAATGGTTTCATTTTCAAACAGCTCTTACATGACAGCTTGTTTACTTTAAAAGTTATCATCTCCTAAACACACAGGAGGCTAACAGAGCAGGAGATAAGACATTCTAAAATCAAACACAATGCAGTTTAGGAACCTAAAAATGTAGGCTCTTTTTCAGGAAATGTGTGGAGATGTGGCTATGGCTGCATTAACTCTTAATTGAGCAGTGAGAGACTGCAGGGGAATGATCTGTACACCAAAACCACTTCATTAAGCTACAGTTGCTTAGTGCTTACAGCGTCCCTTTAATTGTGCAGAATGCTTATGTGTTTTTGGAGTGTGGAGTGGTTCGCTAATGAAGTTGTGAAACTTTGAGCAAAGACCTTGCCTAGACCGATTTAAAATATTGCCTTCTCTGAGAAACAGTAATGTTTTTTTTTTATTTGCTGAAAACCTGCTTCTTGTGGCTTCCCTCTTCAAGACATTTTTACATAATTCCCAGTATTCTGTGTATTCCTTTACTATTGACTACATGGATGTGCTTTTAAATAAGTGGAGCACAGCGGCAGGAATTGTGTGCCATTCTGTGTATTAATGTACTTCTCCCCATGTCACATCCTAGTGGCAGAAAGTGGGTTTGAATCCGCAGTGAGATGCTGTAACACGTTTGCATGATCTTGCACTCACTGCCTGGATCCTTTCCTGCGTGTACAAATACCTAATTGTACTGGCGTAGAGTGGTGAAAAAAATTAATTTCTCTTAATTCTCCTGTCACAGATCTCCAGGATCAATGCAGAGTCCCCCATCACCATCTGGATTCCAGCCACATTCCATAGCCGGGAACATGAACCAGCATGCCACCTCTAATCTCTACCAGTCTGATAGTAACCTGCCAATCATTCTCAACACACAAAGCTTGCAGCCTCACGAGCCAAGGGGAATGAAGCCAAGAAGTTGCGACCGCTACAGTGACTCTGAGGACTCTGGGAAGAGTGATGGGGAATTAGTGGTGATCACAGACTGAAGGAGCCTTCTTAAAGTGGCACAAACTTTAATTTCTTTAATATTTTAAGGCGAGAGCATCTCACGACGAACCCCACAGGAGCACTGATTAGAAGAGTCTTTTCATTGGCTCTTTCAGTTAACCATTCCTATGATGACAATCCTGGTCTAAGTACATTGTAGCCCACGCTGTAGTAAATTCATAAAACATATTCGTAATCTTTGAGATTATGAAACTCTTAATATTATGAAAAATAACATTAGAAGAGGTTTTATACTCTTTTAAAAAAAAAAAAACTAAAAAAAAACAGGGCTATTTGGAAGTATGAGATCAAGAGCTAACACTCTTTTGGCTGGATTCTATTATAAGAGATTGTAATCTGAATAGTAATTTTCCCACAAATGTCTAAGGGAGATCTACTATTCTGTTACCAGAGTTCGACTTTTCTGTTGCAGTATAATATAATCCAGCCCTACTTGTCTAATGAAGAATGGGGTGATATAATGCTGATGTTCATAATCTCTATAAAAATAAGTCTATACTTTTCTTGCCTACTAGGTGTACACGACATCGGAGAGATCATCTATGCTCTCTCTCTTGTCTAACAACTGTTTTGGGAGGTGTACAATCATTTCTTTACACCCCCCAAAGTGCCTTACTGGATGAACCGAAGGAGTATGATTTATCGCTCATGTGCAGATCTCATTATACACAATAATTACATAAAATATATGTATATTTTTATATTTCTGTAAATATAGTTCATAGAGATGTCTTTTTATTTTCTGTTTTTGGTTTTGTTTAATGAAGAGTAACTTAAACTGGAACTATCTCCCCCTATTTCCCCAACTTATTACTGTGCAGGAAAAAAAAAAATTAATAATAAACCTCTTCTGTGACAACTGCCTCTTATGTGTAGCTCAAACAAACATGATTGGATGCATTCACAAAATCAATGCAAGGATATATGTTATATGATTAAATATTCTTTATATACAAAGATTTAAATTTTTATTTTTTTTAAAGTGAGGGGCGGGTGGCCGAGAATTGTTTACTGTCAAATGATGGTAAGGGTGCAAAAGAAGCAACAGATGAAGAAAAACAGGTTGTACATTGCATTGTACAAAACCCCTAAAACAAGGTGCAAAACCGTGACATTTGGCTAAATTTTGGTGTGTGTGTGTGTGTGTGTGTGTGTGTATGTATGTATGTATGTATGTATGTATGTATGTATATATATATATATGTATGTGTGTGTATATAATAATCTCTATATAGTCTGTTCACTGAGGACTGATTACTGTTACTAGATTGCCTATGGAAGCAACATTCAAATTGGTTTGCATGGCTGAGTTGCTGCACACATAGGTTTATGATCATCCTATATTGTCAGCAGTCCGGTAAAATGTACTATTGGACAGTGGAATTCTCTGGCGTAACCGATAACAGACAATTCTCTTTAGGAATGACAATAGAACTCTGCCTACTATTATATTTTAACAGTTTGAATTGAAATCTTTAGCTCGGTTAGTACTACTGTTCCTGTATCGTGTTGCAAGTAACATCTAAAGGTAAATATCAAGCAATATGAAGTGCTCCCAAAAGCAGGACAAGTAGATGAGATGTGCTTTAAAGTATATTTATATAGCTATACTAGTTCTTCTAGTTGTGTACAAATTATCATAGGTAAAACTGTGAAAGCATGGTCGAGCAAGCCTATAGCTAAAGCAAATGTGCCATTAAAATTCTATGTCACAATGGGATTTGTATGATCTTGTTTATTGAAAAAGTATTTGAGTCCTGTGGGGAAACTGTAGTAGTTAAAATTTATTTTTACTGATACCCCAGCAGGTGGCACTCTGTTACCAAAATATTTAATATCAAAAACAAGGCTGCGAACAGCAATCATTATAAACAAGATTCCTCCTCACTAATGGAGAACTAAAAAAACACCAGTAAACCTCAACCAATTCAATTTTTAATTCAACATTTAATGGATAAACCATCTTATGTACTGAGAGCAATCATAGTAGAAATGTCCAGTAACAAGAGAAATATATAAAGCACTAATAATCTGTTCTATTCCAGGAGAGACCTGATTGTTATTTCCCCTCTCCCTGCACTGTCGAGCTTCCAACCTGTACTTCTACTTTTTGGAGTCTCACTACTGCAAGGTCCTAAGGGCCTTTTAATATGGTCCGTGAACTCCCTGTTGGAACACCAGAGGCTATACTGTGTGCATGAAGTTGTGGTGGTGGGTGGTTAACAATTGCAAACCAGGTAGCGAGAAACCACTCTCTATATTACAAACCGAGTGAGAGAAAAGGGAGCAGTGAGCCTCCAGCCTTGCGTCGTCTAGTGCAGGCTTCCCCAAACTCCGGCCCTCCAGATGTTGCTGAACTACAACTTCCATGATTCTATGAATGAAAAGATAGGCTGAGAATCATGGGAGTTGTAGTTCAGCAACATCTGGAGGGCCGGAGTTTGGAGGAAGCCTGGTCCAGTGGCTCATTGCTAACTAAGCCCTATGGCCCGTACAGGCCTGTCTTCTGTAATTTAAAAATTTAATTACATCCTACAATACCCAGTGGGCCAGCTGGCTTACCCATCCAAACATAGACCAAATTAAGGTGGAAATGCCATATTCGCACTGTGGTGAGCAGGGGCAGTTAGACCCAGAACTGGAGAACTGAACCTGTAGCCTACATCAAGCAGTGGTTATAGTCTCTTTTAAAGTGCTACTCCAACCTAAAGGAGGTTGGAGTAACACTTTAAAAGAGACCATAACCCCGTAAAAAAGAAAGATAAGCTGTGCCACCACTGTTCATCCATCAATGGAACGCTATGTGTACGTATACCTTTCATGTACAAAATTGATATTGGCAGAACTCTTGTTTCTGGCTGCTAGTAAAGCCACAGGGGAGTTACACCACCACGGCAAAGTGCTTCATCTCTGTATGTGGAGTGGTTCTTCGTGAAATACTGCACATACAAACTTCAAAAACCTGAAGTAATCAAGATGCTTGTAGTAACCCTTTAATGTTCACTGGTATGAGAGAAAAGGAGGGACCGTATTATTTGGCTTCACTTAATAGTGGATCGTGGGGATTGTTTTTTGGTTTTTTTTTTTTTCTTTTGAGGCCTTAAATGATTTATTTATTTAACCATTTACCTACTTATTGAAAAAACTTGATTCTCCAAGATGGTGGGGTGGGGGGGGGTGGGGGGGGCGGGAATAGAGTAATTTTGTGAACTACCTCCAACCTGACCTGAAAAAAAAAAAAAATCTACATTTCTAATTTTATTCTGAGCTTGGTGAATTACAAAGGCATACTGGTCTTCAACCCATTAATGCAATCATGTAAAATTAGGTGTTTTCTTTAATTTGCGGGTTAAGATTTTCATAATGGGTTCTTTGATAGGAGGGAATATGATATGAAGAGGGAGAGATGAAAAAACTGAGACGTGTAAAGTTATGCACCAAACTGTGAATTGTTAGAAATGAAAAGTCAATTTTAGCTAAACTGAAAAATTACTGACCTGGAAAGTTTGGGGGTTTTTCCTCTCTCTAGACCGAAACTTAGGAGGAAGACTGATTTTATTTACATATATATATATATATATATATATATATATATGTGTGTGTGTGTGCCAGGGACCATCCATGCTAGCATTGACAAGTAACTGTGAAGGCCTGGCTAGTAGCACAGGATTTAAAATGTTAAGCCCCAGGGGCCATCTATGATCATATTTCCCACACAATGCATACCTTGCAGTCCAGTTAGTGTTTCATGAGGACTGGGTTGCTAGTACTTCATCTAAGGTTTGGCTCTCCATATGAAATTTTGACTTCCCAATCTTATATGGCTCACAAGTAATCAGGTGCAGGTTGAGATAACGGCTACTTACATTGGCACACACTTCTAGCTAATATGCTGGAGAGATGATTACATGAAATTAGTAGTAGACACGTAATAAAGATCTTCTCTATTGCCTTCACATGATTGAGAGCACTGAGTAATTACCAACAACTAGATCCTGTCTGTGTCTTTATAGCATTAAGTAGTTACAGGGCAAGGGTAAAAAAAAATAGTACGCAGTTTGAAAAATGACATGCCATCTTTTTCCCATGTAAGAAACATAGTGTTCTATAAAAAAAATTGTGGCATATTGAACAAAGTTCAACACACCATGGCACCGCTGAATATACCTCCAAGTTTTTCTACGACAGCGGAACTGAGATCTGTAAAAACACCAGGCAGTTACCTCTGTCCCCAGGTGTCTGTAGCCACACTGACAGAAGCTGGCAGTGTGGCCACAGACGCCCAGGGGACAACGGTAACGTCAAATCTCTGAAATAGTTTTACTACTTACTCTAAGAGGGCACTAGAGTAAGAGGGCTGTAGTGGTTATGGCTCTCCTGCCACCATAACCACTATAGAGAGCTGTAGTGGTTGAATACATCTAATTCCACACATTAAGGAAAATGATGAGTTTCTAAACAGGTTAACATTAACAATCAGTGCTTTGCTTAGAAGCAGTTTATGAAATGTAAATACTCCATGTTCTGACAATTCACTCATCTCTACAGACAAACATCAAATATTATTAACCCCTTAAGGACACAACTTTTGGAATAAAAGGGAATCATGACGGAATATTTCCATCGTGTGTCATTAAGGGGTTAAAATCACTCTACCATCTGCCACACAAAGAAAATCACACGGTGCTTTCTTTAATCAGTGATTCCCTACACACGCACATCACACTTGCACTGTTACACAGACAGTGCTTTGGTTACATCAATATATGTATGTACACAATCTGTTTATTTTTTGAATTTATTTTTAACAATACAATTTTAAACTTGTAATTACAGAGTTTTTTTTTATTTTTTATTTATCAATATTTAATAGTCTAGTTTTCCAGCAGCAGATGATAATTTAGAATGCAGTCCAGTGTTTTAGGGACATTTTCACAATTCACATCTAGGGCCATACTGATCAAGTCGTTACATACAGTCACTTTTGTGTGAGATATAAAATACATTGCAATTTGTAACAATAATGTATTTTCTGGTTTATCAAAAGTTTGTTTTGTTTTTATTGCTATTTAAATAGAATGAGGCATTAGTCTGTGGTATTACATTTCAAGTATTAGTGCATAGAATATAGGCACCATTTTAGATTTTCAAACATAACCATCAGACTTTGTGCTGCATAGACCTTCCTCCATTTTGTGCCACAGTAATTATGAATAGTCAGTAGTAAACTAGAAGGAGGACATGATATGCATATCAACATGGATAAAAAAATACATTGTGTCATTCCAAAATCTAGCTCTGGAATGGGTGAGGGTTAAAGAAACACTATAATCACCAAAATAAATGTAGCTTAATGAAGCAGTTTTAGTGTATAGATCATTCACCTGCAGTCTCATTGCTCAATTATTTGCCATTTAGGAGTTAAATAACTTTATGCAGTTCTAGCCGCACTTCTCTCACTGTGACTGACAGCCTGCACGAAAACAAAATAGTTTCATTTTCAATCAGATGTAACTCACTTAAAAGGTTTTATCTCCTGCACTGAACTTTAATTACATACAGGAGGATCAGGCAGGGTCTAGTAAGCTATCAAAAGAGTAGGAGATAAATGCTAAATTAAAGATAATTTGCAATAAAAGAAGTGTAAACATTAGATGACTATTTTCAGGAAGTGTTTAGGAAGGCTCTGTCAGTCACTGGTAGGGAGGTGTGACTAGGGCTGCATAAACAAAGTGATTTAACTTGTAAATGGCAGAGAATTGAGCGATGAGACTGCAGGGGCATGATCTATACACCCAAAAATTAAGCTAAAGTTGTTTTCGTGACTATAGTGTCCCTTTATTATTGAATGTTCGATGCAACTGAAATTGATACATTGCATGGACAGCCATATTATCAACAAACATGGTATTGAGATGCTTCAGCAGATATGAACTGCCCCTTAGTGTCCAGAAGTCATGTTTATGAGTGCAGATTATCTCTGTCGAGCTTATTCTTGCAGTTTGCTCATGATCTGGCCAGACAAGACACTCTTCAGTTCATGGCCTGTGGTGGAATCACTTCTGCTTTTGTTTCAAAATATTGATTAAACCGTAATACTGCATACCTGAGACAGACAGACAAACATATTGATATTGTACAGATAATTTAAAAAAAACTATATATGAAAATTACATTTTAAAGAACCTGCTGTTATTGCACTACAAGTGCCTTCTAGCAGGAAGAAGCTCCACCAATCATGAGCCTCTTATTCTGCTCCATAGGGACTTATCGTATACTTCTGTGGTTTATGATAAAAGTAGTTTATCCCTCAGCAGGAGTTCCAATCTTCACTCTGTAACTGCTTTAAAAACTGATACATCTACCTCCCATACCCCACCATAAATCTACCTCCCACCCCATATGTCCCCGCCCCCCCACACATGCAGACAGACAGATACACATGCAGACACATACACACAGAGACCCATACACACAGACAGACTGACACACACACAGAGCTGTAGAGACACATACAGTCATACACACACAAATACAGACACACACACTCACTCACAAACGCTCAGACACACACAAATTATTCATATTTTTTAAATTTAAAAATGTCCACCCAGTCTCCTAGCTGGAGAACTGGCTTGGATCTGTCCCTGGGATCCAGTGGGGCTTCAGTGTTGCAGACGGCTGTGTTCCCAGCAGAGAAGGCGAGGGAGCTGTGTTCTCCCTGCTCTGATCCCTCGTGACGTCTCTTGATGTCGGGAGCCGGACTCCCGGAATCAGCAAACGGCGTGCAAGGGAGCAGAGCAGGGAGAACACAGCTCCCTCTCTGTCTCTGCTAGGAACACAGCAGACTGCCAGGAGGATCCATTAGGTGGCCAGCAGGCCACTTCTTCTGCCCCCTCATGACAGGGGAAACACGGGGGCGGCCGGTCTGGCAGGAATGGCTCTCTTAGTGAGCACTTCCTGACAGACCACTTGGCCACGCTACACACAGGTAGGAGGGGAGTAGCACAGCTCTCCCCTCCTGCCAGACGCCCGTGGACCTGGGCTGGTGCGTCTGTGCACCGGCCCAGAAGGTATCCAGATGGCCCACGGTCGCAGGTAGGTACACCACTGACTGTAAATTTGACTGACAGCTCTAAACGACTAGCTTACACCTGCAGCAATTTTTCACTGAAGTTATAAACCACTCTCAAAGTAAAGTGCGTGGTACTCTCTGCAAATTGTTATATTGCTTGGATGTAGAATACATTTATATCACATGACACAGTGCTGACCTTTTCCCAGAGCATTACAATGAAATAAATGCTTATAATGCCTGGGCCACCTGCTCCCAGAATATATCATAATATAATATATATTATAATCCAAAATGGTATAAACAAGGTACTGTATTGTGCTATAGGTAGGGTTACCAGATTCACCATGTTTACGGGGACACCTAATTTTGTCATATTTATGAAAATGCACAAAAAGTGCTGCCCTGCAGCATGTATAATGCATATTCTACAGGATTGTTAATTTCCTAATTACTTAACATTGATGTTTTTATGCTGGCCAGAGTGTTCCTTTAAGTAGAAAGTGGCCATTTAGCTTTTTTCTATAATAATAAAGTTGTACAGGATGTCTGACGCCACTGCCACCATCTATCTCAATGTTCCTGGTGTGGAAGCACGGCTGTGAGTAATGGCTCTTATTGTGTTGTATTATAAATATGTTGCATTGTGAGTGCTTAGTGACTTGATGAAGACTTGTTTTTTGGGTCGAAACATTGCCTTTTTGTTTCCAATAAAGTGTTCCCAGACCTTTTTCTTCCCCACGAGAAACAGCAAAGCCTGTGGACTTATAGCAAATACAGGAACTTCAGATGGGAGTATAATTTTATTATTTTTAAATTAATTGTTTTTGAATATTTTAATCCATCATATAAAGAGAATGCGTTAAAATATGAATGGATACAAAATCCAATATCCCACTATTTTGTTACCAGGTGGTACCTTGTCAAATTGAACTCCTCTAAAGTAAACACGGCTGAAGGAACTTACCGTCCAAAGTTAAAATCGATGTCAGAAAATCTGTGTTGAATTAGAGCCCAGAGACCCCAGAAAAAGTGAGATGCCTATATAAAAACAGCACATTGTTACTCAAACAAACCATATATAGAAAAAAATAAAAAATAATATATATATATATATATATATAGATAACATTCACAGTTTAACACGTGCTGTGATATAAGTCGAATTAAAAAAGACATAGTAGTGATGTGGTCTTACCAACCATGAATTAAAATGTTTGCCTACATTATGTAATTTGTTACACTAGCTATTGAACTTGAAAAAGAGGACATTATATAATAACAGCCCATATTGCACCACTAAAATTAATAAATACATTTACAGACTTTGAAAAAGAGCATTTTGCTCCCACCATAACAATGTCCAAGCAACCATGCCTCCCCCCACAATTCCAATATGTACACATGAAACTGAAAGATACGCAACAGAAACTGATTTTTTGCCTTGGTACTACAGCGGAAAATACAGACAGACATTGATGAAGACTCACTTGGTCTTCTCTTAAATGATGCATTGTTGAATTCATTTAAACAGACACAATTCAAGACATTATGTGCATAAAAGTGAAACTGTGTTGATGGTTCATTCCTGTATTGGACTTTCCTCCTATAGACTTATACATACGCAGTTAAGCTGTTTGCCTTGCATGTCAATATGTGCTTTAAAAATACCATGCTGTGTTGTAAAACAATGTAAAAAAACATAACACTTAATGGAATTTGTACTTTGAGCAATGTTTGCAGGAGTACTATACCCAACAACTGTAATGTGTTTTTAAATCACAGAAGAATATTAGGGTCAACGATCCTTCCTGTGCACAGTTCAAGTAGTGGTACAGTTCTGTAAACTCTGGGGCAGGACATTCTGAACTGCCTTTTTCCATGAAAGGATTCTATCCTGACTGTGCAGCAACATCTGAAACCATTTCTTGCAATTGTCGCTTACAGTTGTGCTCCAAAGTTTGCATACCCTGGCAGAAATTGTGAAATGTTGGCAATGATTTTGAAAATGTGACTGATCATGCAAAAACACATTTCTTATTAAAAGATAGTGATCATATGAAGCCATTTATTATCATGTAGTTGTTTGGCTTCTTTTTAACTCCTTAAGGACACAGCTTCAAAAGCTTGTCTTGCACTTAAGGACACAATAAATTTTCACATTTTTTGCTGTTTGCGTTCAACTGCAATTTGCATTTTACTATTTTATTGCACTGACACATATTATATACCGTTTTTTTAAAGGACAGAAAGAGCTTTAATTTGATGTAACACACACACACACACACACACACACATATATATATATATATAAATGCTTATTTATTATAAAGAAATATGGAAAAAAATGAAAATGTTTGTTTTTTTTACAGTTTTTGCAATAATAATGTGTGCATAATTAGCGCAGGTTAAGGAAAGTAATTAAAAATAAATTAATTTAGTTGTTCTGATTTACAAAATATATAATGTGTCTAGGATTTTCATTTTATTTTGGTAGTTACAGCTCACAAAACACAAGGAGTAAAATAAACTTTTAATATGGAGCGATTTTAGAATTTGGTATGTGTGTCTTGTAAGCTTAATAGCCATAAAAGAAAACAAAATTGCCACACAATAGTATATATTTATATAAAGAAGACATCAGGCTATTTAACTAACATTATTTTGACACTTTTTACGGAGCCATTTCACCGCCAATCCCTGCTAAATATTGGACTAAAATTTAGTTTTTTGAAAATTATAACAAAGAACTTCTCATGTGTATTTCGTAAAGTTAGTGTGTGCTATTCCTGTACAAAACCCCATTTTGTGTTCAGCTACATCTGCTGAGTACAACGATACCCCCATTGTATGTCTTTGGCATTTTGACATTTTGTATATTTGACTTGTGCTACCATGATCAAAGCCCCAAAATTATGCTCAGCTAAGTCTTCTGAGTAAAATTACACCCCCATTGTATGTCTTTGGCACTATTTCGTGAAGCTACAGCACCATATAGGAGACCTGTCCATTTCGGTATTTACAGTAGAATTTCGAGAGACGGATTTGATGGGCCTATGTTTCAATTTGGGCCACTATAGCAGTTTGACTGTTGGAAAAAACCTCACAAAGGCCTACCATTTGTAAAAGTAGACACTCCAGGGCGTCTTCAAATGGCATATTTTAAATCCTAGCGTAGGATCATTTTTTTTACTAGTTTGTACCAAGTCTAGTAGCAATTAGTATTTTTTCTGCCTTTTTGACACACACTTGGAGATGTTACAGTATATTTTGCAATCCTTATGTGTGCTAAGGCAGTATAACACCTATTATGTTGCTCAGCCACGTCGTCTTAGTACAACAGTACCCCCATGTGTACCTTTTTCAGGGATATGTGGATGTTGAAGGGGCACATTGGAGACTAAGCAATATCAGTTTTGTTTTTTTTTTTCAAACTTTGAATTTTGACGCTGGGTCCATGTGCAATTTTAGAGCATCTTTACAGGCTGATAATTCAAACTACCCCACAAAGGCCTACCATTTTTTAAAGAAGGTATTAATCACCGTATTAACCTGCATTAAACTCTGGGGCACTACCTGTCAACTCTGTCTGCTGATAGAATTCATAACTTCCTAAGCATTTTTTACTTTTTACACAAGAACTTTAACTAAATAATGTTATAAAAGATATTTTTTTCTATTTTAAAAAAAAAATCTTTTCACCCCTAGCGTTACACTAAACTCCCCAACTTCCTATGAATTACCATGCACCCTAATTAACTAACTAAAATTAGAAAAATAAAAATAATGAAATAATCAGTCAGAGGTAAGAATTGCAGCAGCCTCCTTGGCCCTAAACGTTGTCAGCAACTTTAAAATGGAAGAACTAAATAATAAAAAAAAATGTATATATATATATATATATATATATATATATATACAATGTGCAACTTATTCTCCCTGGGTGTGAAAAACTTTAAAACAGTTGCCAATACAAAGGCCGGGCTGACAGGGGCAATTAGGGCAATAAAAGCTGGTTTCCATCCTTATGCCCCTCTGGTAGCACAACCTGCACCTTTTCTGGGGTGTCTTCTTTTTGGGGGTTGGTGGTATCCGGAAACAGAAGTGACCTGTCTCAACCCTTCTCCTGCTAGGCCCAGCTGATGGTTCCCCACTGTCGCACTCAGTGAGCAGCCCAGAAATAAGATGAAACTGGAAATCCAGAAATGTGGATTTAATGTCAGCATTTGCCTTTTTGTACAGAATAAAGGCATTGTGAGTCGCCATTTGCATAAGGTAAATGCCAAGCTTTTTGTACCATGCCCTGGTCTTCCTCAGTATTAAATAGGGTTGCAGCAGTTGGTCGGACAGGTCAACTCCCCCATGTGCTTGTTATACTGCCTAATGCAGACTGGCACCCGTCTAATTTCTTGGCTGCCACGAACTGCGACTCTTCGAGTGTGCTCAGTATGCATAGATGTTAGCATGAACACCTCCTTCTTATCTTTGAATTTGAGAGCCAGCAGTTCGTCCTGGCAGAGAGCAGCCGTTTCCCCCCTCTTGAGCTTTTTTGTGCCAGGGCTTTTGGGAAACTGACACGTGTCTTTCGGATAGTGCCGCAGGCCACAGTTTCAAAGCAATAAAGCATCCTAAGAAGAGGGATGCTATTATAGTAATTGTCTATAAATAAATGATACCCCTTATTTAGCAATGGGTTAATGAAATCCCATACGATTTTTCTACTGGTCCCAATGATATCCGGGCAACCTGGGGGATCCAAGTGGCTGTCTTTACTTTCGTAAACACGGAAGGTGTAAACATAACCACTGGCACTTTCACAAAGTTTATACAACTTTATCCCATACCGGATCTTTTTGCCGGGATATATTGTTTAAACCCCAGTCTGCCCTTGTATTTCATTAGAGACTCATCTACACAAATATTTTTTTGTGGGGTGTACATTGAGCCAAACTGTCTGTTAAAGTGGGAAATAAGGGGGCGAATCTTATGGAGATTATCGTATTGAGGATTATCTCTTGGGGGACACTTCGAATTGTCGCTGAAGTGTAAAAAGCGAAGCATTGCTTCATATCTGGACCTGTTCATGGTCTGGGAGTAAAAAGGGGTGCTGCATATAGGATTTTTGGACCAGTACATCCTGATGCTGGGTTTTTTAATAATGCCCATTAGTGTTATTAGTGCCCAAATTTTTTTTAATTCTGGCACACTGGTGGGGTACCAACTCCCTTGCCTGGCGACGAGACTCTGATCATTAAGAGTCAGGTACTGCACAGCATAAAGGTTGGTCTGGGTGACTATATCCCCTAAAATATCATCCCCCAAGAATGGCTGCATGAAATCCAGTGCACTGTAGTTAGTGACGTCCAACTGAATTCCAGGACTGCCAGTAAATACTGGGATGTCAGGCGTGAAATCATTTAGGGGTTCCCAGTCACCAGCGTCATGAGCCAGGTCAGAGGACTCAGCGCTTACAACAGAGGGCCCTGCAGTATCTGGCACAGTCTCATCACCACTCTCAGAGGCAGTGTCTGTGGCGTCAGAGTCGGCTGCTAGTATATCATAAGCCTCCTCAGCTGTGTACCTTCTAGACATTATAAAAGTGTAACTTTAACAAACTTTTTTAAAACTTTTTTTAATTTTTTTTAAAAACTTTTTTATTTTTTTATAGTTTTTTTAACTTTTAAAAACTTTTCAGAACTTTTCTAAACTTTTCGTCTCTAACTAGCCTAACAATCAATTTCCCAAATTCCCACAAAAGTCCACCCACTCCAGCTAACTAAGGAATTAACATTAAATTAATTAAATAACAAATTAACTAAAATTAACCCTTGAGGGTACAAAAATAAAATTAGATCACAGTTAAATACTGTGATCAGTATACTGATCACTGCAGGCAGTGATCAAAAGGGCAAGGAAAGGGTTAACACGGTTTTAAAGGTATTAAAATTACTTTTAAAACACAGATACAGAGGGAGGAGGATCAGGAATCCCAGCAGCACTGTGATCGCTGTGACTGGCTGTCACAGCGATCACATGTGCTGGGACAGCTCTGTTGGCGGTTGCTGGTCTGCCTCTGACATCGAGGCACCCAGCAACAGCGTTAACCCCACGATCGCGGCGATCTGGCGTTAACGTTAACGAGATTTTACGTCAACGGTCCTTAACGCACGGACAAGCTTGACGGAAAATCTCGGGAAGGGGTTAATTCATAACAGATATCACCCAAATGGTCTTGATCAAATGTTTACATACCCTTGAACGTTTGGCCTTGCTACAGACACACAAGGTGCACTAATAAAGGTTTACTTCCCACACCTGTGGCTTTTTAACCCCTTAACGACGAGTGACGGACGTGGTTCGTCACTCAGGAGAGCCTTAACGACGAGTGGCGGACCAGATCTGTCACGCGTTAAAATTAACCCCAGATGGCGGCGATCCCGGGGTTAATGGTGCTCCGGTCTGCCTCTGTATTAGAGGCAGACCGGGGGCACCATATAGTGCTGCCCCAGCACCGGTGCTCGCTCTGACAGGCTGTCAGAGTGAGCACATGTGCTCAATGTACTTACCTTCTGCCTCCCTGCACTTCCTGATTCTGTGTGAAGTGCAGGGAGACGGATCAGTGATGACCCTGCCCCCTGTTAAAAAATAAATAAAGTTAATTTAAAATCCCACCGGCCTTTATCCATTTTAATAAAAAATTAACACCTTCCCTGCCAATTGATCACTGACAACAGTGATCAATTGGCAGGGATTACATTTTACTGTCATCTGATTTTTTTTTACCCCTGAGGGTTAATTCTTTTTTTTTTTTACTCTCAGGGGTTAAATTAATTTTATTAATTAATTTAAATATTTAAAAATTATATATTTAGCTAGCTGGGCTGGGGTGGGAGGAAGTTAGTGGGGAATTAGGGGATTTGTGTGTTAGGCTAACTAGTGGTTAATGTTAAAAAAAAGTTTTAAAATAAGCTTTAAAAAGTTAAAAATTAAGTTAAAAAAGGTTTAATAACGTTTAAGTAAAAAATTTTAAAAAACACACCCCTTTAGCCAGTCCAAATAAAAATTAACCCCTTCTCTGCCAGTCGATCACTGCCTACAGTGATCAAAATACAGATCACAGTATTCTATTGTAATCTCATTTTTTTTAACCCTTGAGGATTAACTTTGATTTATTTTTTAACCCTCAGGGGTTCAATTGATTTAATTAATTCATTTAAATATTTTATAATTATATATTTTGGTAGCTGGGGTGGGTGGGAGTTATGGGAAAGTGGGGAATTTAGTGTTAGAGCTGCTTACTGCTAGTTAGGGGTTAATGGTAAACAAAAGCTTAGAAAAATTTTACATCTGTAAAAAAAAAGTTTAGGAAAGTTTACAAAAAATTAATAAGCAAAACAAAAGTTTAAACACTAGCTTTAAAAAGTAAAAAAAGTTTCAAAAAGTAAAAAAATACATTTAAAAACACGCATTACCACTACACCTGGAACAAATTAGAGAAAAAATTATCCCACGCTAAGGTTCAAAATATGCCTTTTGAATTACCCCAGGGTGTATTCTTTAATAAATAGTATGTGTTTGTGGGGAAGGTTCAATGACCAACCATCTAAAATACCCTGAAATACCCTGGAATGTCTTCTTTAAGAAATGGTATGCCTGGGGGGGCGGAGCCAAGCAATAGAACAGAGCGGTCGCACCTAAGCCAAGTTCTGCAATACTAGGCCTAATTTCCGCGCTATAAACAACAGTTACCCCAAACAAATCGGTGCCAACTGGACACTAAACCAGCATACACCGTAATGGGACAAAAAACAAAAAAACAGAAGGCGGACAAGCCTAGAATGGGCATGAACATTGGGGACCTGTGGCGGCAAGCACATGAGACCTCGCAATCTAAGATGGCGTCCTACCTCGAAGAAAGCTCAGACTTCTCGGACGACCAACTTGCGGAGATGGCGGATTTCCTCACAGGGGCCAAGACAGGCGCCAGCACCAACCTCGCCAAAGAGGGACTCGCCGCCTGTGACCAAGGCCGATATGCAAGACCTTCTAGCAGACCTCCGGCGGGACATCCACGCGGATGTTACAGCACTCCGCAACGACCTCAAAGGCCTGACAGGCTGCACGGGGGCCCTGGAGACTGACTCCCGCAACGCCAAACAAGAGGTTATGCACCTGCAACAAGAGATGCAGACCCTCCGAAATCAACAGACTACCCTAGAACAGATACTCACAATAATGGAAGACTCCAGACGACTCAAAAATCTCAAGGTCAGAGGGGTGGCGGAGGCAATCCCAGACGCCGAATTGCCACACTTTATTAGACGCCTCCTGGGCACGATCTTGCCTCCCAGACAGGCGAAAGCGATAATGATAGAAAGCACGTTCCGGGTCCCCAGACCCGCCAAAGGCCCGGCCACTGCTCCCAGTGACCTGATTGTGCATTTCCAGGCAAATCAGGACAAGGACGCAGTGATGGGCGCCCTCCGGGGACAATCCCCATACAACTTTGAGAACTCTTCACTTACCTTCTTTGCCAACCTCACAGGGAGCACACTGACATGGCGAAAGTCCCTGCAGCCCTTCACGACGCTGCTCCGGACGCAGAACATCACCTACAGATGGAAGACAACACACACGCTGGCAATCTCCCACGGCGGAACCATCTACCCGGTTCACGATTTGGAAGGAGCAGCAGCGATCCTGGAGAGCCTGGGCCTCCCACCAAACTCATTAACCAACACCTCAAAAGCAACAGCGACCACATCGCATGGGTGGGACCCGGCGAACACAGCCCCCTTCATACCCAGGAGGCCCCCGGCGGACATCCATGCAGAGGCCACGACCTGATCTCTCCCAGTCAGCCACACCACATGCTGGCAGTTAAGACTTTGCTCATGGAGGACTAACGTCTTTAATCTTGCTCTCTAATTAAGTTTAACACTGATTTTACCATGTCCCATACCTTTCTTCTCTTAGCTCTGCTATACCTGCATTGTTTGTTTTTACATCCACTAGGGCCCCACACAAGCTCCTGGAGAACGGTAAACATAACCGGGGGTACGGGCCACATATGCTCCCCCCCAATAAGCTCCCCAGCCACCGCGCCAACACCAATAGGAGGCTAATCCCGTGCCCTGCACGGATCCCCCCCACTCAACCCGGATTACATAGGCCACCCTGACTACCCCGCATAACCCTCCCCAGGGCCTTATCTGGAGACCCCCCATACCACAATGCCACAAAGGGTGTCATTACCCATCATAGGGCCACCCTCCTGACAGGGGGTAACTGTACCACCACAGTACCCAAGTCACGATATGCCTAGCCCGCCAAGACAGATACGCAATAAGTCACAAAACTTGCCTCCCCCTAACATACCCAACCATGGCATGGCCCGCACCAGCCACTCATAACGTGGCCCACCTGCCTGCCCTAACTCCTGACAGATCAGGAAAAACACACACTAACATGGGGTTCTTGAACATATCATTTGACGGCACAATTTACTTAGACTGCACAAACCGGTGGTTAATTATATAAAGGAATTAAAAGCTAAAGCCTCATAATACCTCACATGAAACCACATATCTCCCTTGATGTCACAATTAAGGTACCTAGAACAACAAAAAGGGGGGGAAATAAAATATCAATCAGCTCCACGTCCTTTCAGCAGAGAGCGAAAACATAGCACACATAGCCACATGCGCATATCCTAATTAATTACTCTACAATGCTAGTTCTGACGATACTAAGCTTAGTAAGCCTAGCTAGCCCTGATACGTAAGCGCTTCTAATTTTTATAGTACACTACCGTACCACATTTCAGCATAGCTAACAGTTTTGGTTGTCAGATTAAATAAAATGTACTGTTATATGTGTTTCTAGACAATAATGTTAATCAATCTTGTTACCTTTTCTACTACTACAAAAAAAGTGTAGCATACCATGTCATTTATCTGTACACCATCTGTCATGGCATGTCACCCAAAAGAAATGGTATGCCTTTATGGTGTAGCTGTAATATGTAGCCTGCTCAAGTGCTCCAAAGTGGAACACGGACGCATCAAAACCCTCCATGAAAATTCACACTTAAAAACCTGAATTTGTCACGTCTCTTTTACAGCACTGTAACTTTACAAAATAGTCTCCAGGTCATACATTAGGCATATTGTTTTACTTAGAAGACTTAGCTGAGCATAATTTGGGGGGTTTGAACATAGTGGCACATAAGAAATATACAAAATGTCCAGCAAAAATGTAATCCGTATGTAAAAAATGCCCCAAATTATTTTTTACCACATACTTTGGCATATATTGGTGAAAAAATGGGTGCATGTTAAGACACAATATGCACCATATGAGATACCCTGGAGTGTCTACTTTTACAAATAGTAGGCCTTTGTGGTTGTTTTTTTTTTGAATAGTCAAACTGCTATAATACCCCAAATGGAAGCATAGGCGCATTAAATCCGTCTCTCAAAATTCTACTGTGCATACTGAAAAGGACAGGTCTCCTATATGGCACTGTAGCTTCACGAAATAGTGCCAAAGACATACAATGTGGGTGTCACTTTACTCAGCAGAGGTAACTGAACACAAAATAAAACTTTGTACAGGAATAGCACACACCAATTTTACAAAATACACATGAGAAGTTCTTTGTTATACGTTTGTGTGCCAAAAACCAAAAATACATTTTACTTCAATATTTAGCAGAGGTTGGCGTTGAAATGGCTACGTTGAAAGTGTCAAAACAACCTTAGGTAAATAGCCTACTTTATATAAATATATACTTTTGTGTGGCAACTTTGTTTTCTTTTATGGCTATTAAGCTTACAAGACAAACATAATTCTAAAATCGCTCCACATTAAAAGTTTATTTTACTCCTTGTGCTTTGTGACCTGTAACTACCAAAAAAAACTTAAAATCCCAGACACATTATATATTCTGTGAATCAGAACAACTAAATGAATTTATTTTAATTACTTTCCTTAACCTGCACTAATTATGCACACATTATTTTTGCAAAAACTGTAAAAAAAAAACACAAAATTTTCTTTTTTTTGCTGCATTTTTCTGCATTTTTTTTATAATAAATAAGCATTTATATACTTCAAATTAAAGCCCTTTCTGTCCTTTAAAAAAACGGTATGTAATATGTGTCGGTGCAATAAATTAGTAAAGTGCAAATTGCAGTTGAACGCAAACAACAAAAAATGCTGTTGTCATTAACTGGAAGACAAGCTTCTGAAGCTCTGTCCTTAAGGGGTTAAACTGCAATTAGTGTTTGTGTATCAATAGTCAATGAGTTTGTTAGCTCTCACGTGGATGCACTGAGCAGGTTAGATACTGAGCCATGAGGAGCAGAAAAGAACTGTCAAAAGACCTGTGTAACATAATGGAACTTTATAATGATAGAAAAAGATATAAAAAGCTATCCAAAGCATTGAGAATAGTGATGTCCCGAACGGTTCGCCGTGGACTCATCATTGAGTAAAAATTGACCCTGTACCTCACAGTCAGCAGACACATTCCAGCCAATCAGCAGCAGACCCTCCCTTCCAGACCCTCCCACCTCCTGGACAGCTCACTAAGAATGCAGCTTCACAATGAATGTAAAATGGATGCTGTCCAGGAGGTGGGAGGGTCTGGGAGGGAGGGTCTGCTGCTGATTGGCTGGAATGTGTCTGCTGACTGTGAGGTACAGGGTCAAAGTTTACTCAATGATGAGTCCGCGGCGAACCGTTCGTGGCGAACCGTTCGCGAACCATTCGGCGAACCGTTCGGGACATCACTAATTGAGAATGCCAGTCAGTACTATTCAATCAATTATTAAGAAGTGAAAAATTCGGGGATCTCTTGATACCAAGCCAAGGTCCGGTAGACCAAGAAAGATTTCAGCCACATCTGTCAGTAGAATTGTTTGGGATACAAAGAAAAACCCACAGGTAACCTCAGGAGAAATACAGGTTGCTCTGGGAAAAGACGGTGTGGTCGTTTCAAGGAGCACAATACAACAATACATGAACAAAAAAGAGCTGCATGATCGAGTTGCCAGAAAGAAGCCTTTACTGCGCCAATGCCACAAAAAAGCCCGGTTACAATATGCCTGACAACACCTTGACATGCCTCACAGCTTCTGGCACACTGTAATTTGGAGTGACGAGACCAAATTAATTTTTTGTCTTTGTTGCTATGTTTTGTTTTATGATTGTACCATTCTGTTATAACCTTCAGTTGAATATGAATTCCATAAGAAATAAAAGAAATGTGTTTTGCTTGCTCACTCATGTTTTCTTTAAAATGATATATATTACCAATTTTCCAAGGGTATGCAAATTTTTAGCACAACTGTGCGTCCTAAAAAAAATAATTCTCTGCACCCTGCTTCCTTATTCAATTACCAACCTATACCTCTATCCTGTTCACCTCAAAGCTTTTAGAATGGAATGTTTAGACTCATCTAAAACCGCTGACTACAGGTTCTGTCTTCAACCTCAATGCAAACAATACAAATGCCACAAATTGCCTAGTGGGCTAAACACAAAAACAAAATGGATGGCCCCACTTCTGGAAGCCGTCTCTAAAGATCTTAAGGCTTGGAATAAACCATGCTACGGATGGTTTTGTAGAATAAGCATTATAAAAATGATGATATTGCCACGCATCGCTATACTTTACAAACAGTCCCAATAAAGCTGCCAGTTAGTTTCTTCTCCATAATCTAGCGCCCCTTGAATCACTCCCATGGCACAAACTGAACACTGCACTTCTCAAACATAAACAACACCCGCTCATCTTAACTACACTACAGACATGGTCGAAGGTAACTAATTCTACAAATATAGCACCATACCCATCGCCACGATACCATATTACGCGTAACCCATTGCTGCCATCAGTTATCACAGGTAGAACTTATGAGCTTCACCGAGGGGCCGCAAACATAACACTCCAAGACTTGACCAAGGGTAATGCATTACTAACATTGCAAGATCTAACTCTCGGCCAACCCCCCACGAGTATGCAACAATTACATTATTCACAATTGAAACATTTCATGGGGAGCCAGAAGCTGCTGCCAGGGGGAAACAGGGAACTGTCAACCTTTGAACAGCTGTGTACAACACATCCTTTAAAAAAGAAATTGTTATCTACAATGTACAAATTACACTCAGACAAAACTGACATTCCTGGTTTCGCCACCAAGTGGACTAGAGAAATGAATTTAGACATTTCAGGGGAGCAATGGAAACACATTTTCACCAGAACCCACAAAATATCCATTGCAACTTCCAACCAGGAAAGTAACTATAAACGCCTAACCCGCTGGCACTACACGCCTTCCAAACTAAGCAAAATGTTCCCAGGAACACAAAATATTTGCTGGAGATGCGGGCAGGGGGAGGCTAATCCAACACATATCTGGTGGCAATGTCCTACAATCAAAAAGTTTTGGACCCGCATACACAAACTCACACAGATTATTATGCACAAACAGATACCCTTCACACCGGAACATCTAATATTTATGATGCCTCTCCAAAATCTCACTAAAAAGGAAAATTATTTGACATCCCAACTGCTCATGGCAGCAAACCACCTAATTCCAGTATACTGGAAACAGGAAAAGATCCCTTCTATTAGGGAATGGACCAACAGGGTAGAAAGTATTAGACAGATGGAAGGTATAACATACGCCTTATCAAAAAATTACATAACCTTCGCGCAAACATGGAAACCTTGGTCGATATACCTAGAAGGGGCGGAATGAGAAGTAAGATTTAGGCAACAGCACAAATAACAGCACCAGATATGGGGGAATACTCAAATTGTCACAAGTACAACTCTTAAAGGGCACGAATATGTAGCACCATTCACACTTCGTATTTAGTAGTATAAAAACTGTTCTGGGAGAAACATATCCTATCCAATATTCATCATTAATTGTATAATGCTTGTCCAAAACTCAATATATGTCATCATCTGTATAATGATTATCAATATCTATTGTAAATGTTATGCAACATTACTTGTTAAAGCCACGCTGTTGTGGTTTCGGATGTAATTAATGTATACATAATTACTGTTATGAAACTTGAAAATCAATAAAAATATAATTAATTAAAATTAAAAAAAAGTGGTAAAAAAAAAAAATGGATGGGGTTTCCCTTTTCTAAGCTCCGGTTAGCTGTCCTTTTCCATTTATTTAGATTCAGATGGATCTGTTTATTTTTTTATTACTTGGCAGCTGATTGCTGTTTGAAACATACAAGGGGTTATTTACTAAACTGTGAAATTGAAGAAGAAGAAAGGCCACAGACTCACCAGAACAAACTGATTGACCTGTGCATATAGGTCTTCCACCTCCTCTTCTTGTAGATCACCCTCTTCATTTTTCATCCTCCTATAAGCTTCAAGATAATGTCGAAGCCAGTGCAGTTGTGCTTGTCTGCCAGGGAATAACCGATAATCTGGTTCACTCACTCCTAGGAACATAGACATAAGCTGCAGCACCGTTTGCAGAGGATGGGAATGTAGAGGAGTATTGGGCTTCAGAATACACCTGGTACTAGATATGGACAGGAAGAGTGCACCAAATACAAGCTATATATGGTGTAATAGGACATATACAATTTAGATACGCTATATTACAACATTTGCAGTGTTATTCACAAAAAGCGAGATTTGATAGAAATTCCAGGTGAATTCAAATCGAATTTCAAAATTTATGCCAAAATAGCCAAATTAGAAAAATTCTCCAAGTCAATTCTGTTTTCAGTTTGACTAATTTGGCTTTAAAATTTAAATTAACTTTGAATTCCCAACAATAACCCTGTTGGTGTAAAATACAAGCACACTTGGCATCCACTAAGTGCGACAAGTCAACAGTAACAATTTCTACAGGTGGCGAATCATTCATTGTTAATGCATTTTTTTAATTTTATTTTTTTATGCAAATGATTCTAAAGGGGAATTTATTATAGCAGAATAAGGTTTAACTTGCACAGATCCCTGGGTTACATATATATATATATATATATATATATATATATATATATATATATATATATATATATATATATATACAGTATCTGTCTTTTACTCCAACTAGTAAAAACAAACCAACTACTAACAGGGTTATTTACTAAAATGAGAATTGTTGGGAATTGTGAATTAATTTCAAATTTAAGGTAAAACTCTGTTACCTGCTCAGATCCTATTCCTATCCCTGCCCCCTGTTCAGACCCATATTCCTATCCCTGCCCCCTGCTCAGTCCCATATTCCTATACCTGCTCCCTGTTCAGTCCCTATTCCTATCCCTGCCCCCTGTTCAGTCCTATATTCCTATCCCTGCCCCCGGTTCAGTCCCCTATTCCTATCCCTGTTCGGTCCCATATTCCTATGCGTGCCCCGTGCTCAGTCCCATATTCCTATCCCTGCCCCCTGTTCAGTCCCATATTCCTATCCCTGTTCGGTCCCATATTCCTATCCCTGCCCCCTGCTCAGTCCCATTTTCCTATCCCTGCTCAGCCCCATATTCCAATCCCTGTCCCCTGTTCAGGTCCCATATTCCTATCCCTGCTCCCTGTTCGGTCCCATATTCCTATCCCTGCTACCTGTTAAGTCCCTATTCCTATCCCTGCCCCCTGTTCAGTCCCTATTCCTATCCCTTTCCCCTGTTCAGTCCTTTATTCCTATCCCTGCCCACTGTTCAGTACATTATTCCTATCCCTGTTCGGTCCCATATTCCTATCCGTGCCCTCTGCTCAGTCCGATATTCCTATTCCTGCCCCCTGTTCAGTCCCATATTCCTATCCCTGTTCGGTCCCATATTCCTACCCCTGCTCCCTGCTCAGTCCCATTTTCCTATCCCTGCTCCGCCCTATATTCCAATCCCTGCCCCTTGTTCAGTCCCATATTCCTATCTCTGCTCCCTGTTCGGTCCCATATTCCTATCCCTGCCCCCTGTTCAGTTCCAAAATACTATCCCTGCCCCCTGTTCAGTCCCAAAATACTATCCCTGCCCCCTGTCCTGTCCCATATTCCTATCCCTGCTTCCTGTTCAATCCCATATTCCTATCCCTTCACCCTGTTTGGTCACATATTCCTATCCCTGCTCCCTGTTCAGTCCCATATTCCTATCCCTGCTCCCTGTTCGGTCCCATATTCCTATCCCTGCTCCCTGTTCTGTCCCATATTCCTATCCCTGCTCCCTGTTCTGTCCCATATTCGTATCCCTGCCCCCTGTTCGGTCCCATATTCCTATCCCTGCCTCCTGCTCGGTCCCATTTTCCTATCCGTGCTACCTGCTCGGTCCCATTTTCCTATCCGTGCTACCTGCTCGGACCCATATTCCTATCCCTGCCCCTTGTTCAGTTCCATATTCCTATCCCTGCCCCCTGTTCTGTCCCATATTCCTATCCCTTCCCTCTGTTCAGCCCCATATTCCTATCCCTGCCCCCTGTTCAGTCCCATATTCCTATCCCTTCGCCCTGTTCAGTCCCATATTCCTATCCCTTCCCCCTGTTCTGTCCCATATTCCTATCCCTGCCCCCTGTTCGGTCCCATATTCCTATCCCTGCCCCCTGCTTTCCGGTCCCATTTTTCCTATCCGTGCTGCACCTGCTGGGTCCCATTTTCTATCCGTGCTACCTGCTTTCGGTCCCATTTTCTATCCGTGCTACTGCTGCTGGGTCCCATATTCCCTATCCTGCTTGCTGTTGGGTCCCATATTCCTATCCCTGCCCCTGTTCTGTCCCATATTCCTATCCTTCCCACTCTGTTCGGCCCCATATTCCTATCCTTCCCTGTTCTGTCCCTTATTTATTCCCTGCTAACCCGCCTGTTCCGGCCCCAATATTCCTATCCCTTCCCTCTGAAACGGCCCATATTCCTATCCCTGCCCTGAAATTTCGGTCAATGTTCCTATCCTTTCCCTGATTTCGGCCCCATATTCTATCCTTCCCCTGTTCTGTCCATATTTCCTATCCCTCTGCTCCTGTTCGGCCCCATATTCCTATCCACTGCCACTCTGTTCAGCCCATATTCCTATCCATTCCCTCTGTTCGTATGTTCCTATCCTGCCCCTGTTCGATCCCATATTCCTATCCTGCCTGTTCAGCCCCATATTCTATACCTGCTCCTGTTTCGAGTCCCTATTCCTATCCCTGCCCCTGTTCGGTCCCTATTCTATCCCTTTCCCTGTTCAGTCCTTTATTCCTATCCTGCCCACTGTTCAGTACATTATTCCTATCCTTCCCTCTGTTCAGCCCCATATTCCTATCCCTTCCCTGTTCACCGGCCATATTCCTATCCCTGCCCCTGTTCAGAGTCCAAATATTTCTATCCTTCCCTCTGTTCAGCCCCATATTCCTATCCTTCCCTGTTCTGTGTCCCATATTCTATCCCTGCTCCCTGTTCAGCCCCATATTCCTATCCCTTTCCACTGTTCAGCCCATATTCCTATCCCTGCCCTCTGTTCAGCCCCATATTTCTATCCCTGCCCCCTGTTCAGTCCCATATCCCTGCCCCCTGTTCAGTCCCATATTCCTATCCCTGCCCCCTGCTCAGTCCCATATGCCTGCCCCCTGCTCAGTCCCATATTCCTATCCTTGTCCTTGTTCTGTTTCGAGTAGCCAACGGAGCAAGCAAGTCAGAGATTTGCATGACGTCATGACGCTGCGCACGTCCCCCGCAGGTGTTGGTGTAATGAGCTGAACCTGCCTGAGCGGAAGCTGGCAATCTATCATATCGGCAACCCCGGCCGGAGACAAACCCCGAGCAATGTAATGTATATAGTGTGAGCTATGGGGGAGGGTATCACACTGTATATGGGTTATTATAGGGTATGTACATGGAGGGTATCACACTGTATATGGGTTATTATAGGTTATGTACATGGAGGGAGGGTATCACACTGTATATGGGTTATTATAGGTTATGTACATGGAGGCTATCACACTGTATATGGGTTATTATAGGGTATGTACATGGAGGGTATCACGCTGTATATGGGTTATTATAGGGTATGTACATGGAGGGAGGCTATCACACTGTATATGGGTTATTATAGGTTATGTACATGGAGGGTATCACACTGTATATGGGTTATTATAGGTTATGTACATGGAGGGAGGGTATCACACTGTATATGGGTTATTATAGGGTATGTACATGGAGGGAGGGTATCACACTGTATATGGGTTATTATAGGTTATGTACATGGAGGGAGGCTATCGCACTGTATATGGATTATTATAGGTTATGTACATGGAGGGAGGGTATCACACTGTATATGGGTTATTATAGGTTATGTACATGGAGGGTATCACACTGTATATGGGTTATTATAGGTTATGTACATGGAGGGAGGGTATCACACTGTATATGGGTTATTATAGGGTATGTACATGGAGGGAGGGTATCACACTGTATATGAGGTAATAGAGGATTGGTGTATATTCAGAGGGTGGATATAGTAATGTATATGACATGTAGTGGGAGCATTGAGATATTAGAGGTATGTACATGGTGAGGATATTACATTGTCTATGAGTTATTCGTGAATAAACCCAGTTTGTTTACCTGCTGGCACTTGTCTTTTTACCTTTCCCACATTGTCCCATTCAGAGGTGTCTGGATATTATTGGTTACAGTGGTGTTGGTTTGCGGACAATGAGTTCTCTAAAGTGAGAATTGTTTGGAATTCAAAGTGAATCAAATTCGTCAGAGTAGCTGAACTGGATGCATAGCTGACTTTCTAGTCTGGGCTTCTTTGGTCTTAAATTTAATATTCTCTTTGAATTCCTTGCAATTCTTACTGTAGCGAATTAACCCTGTGTGACACCACTGAGTAAACCATGATAATTGTCACTCTCATTAGCACTGGGTAGTACAATTATTGAAGAGAAGACATTAAAGGGACACTATAGTCACCGTGGTTTTAACCCTTCAGATGTAAACATAGCAGTTTCATAGAAACTGCTATGTTTACATTGCTGGGTTAATCCAACCTCTAGTAGCTGTCTTCCTGACAGCCGTTAGAGGCACTTCTGCAACGTTGGATGCGAAAATCATATCCAGCATGCAGAACGCCCATAGGAAAGCAATGAGCTGATGGCAGGGGAGGAGAGGTCACGTTGGATAAAGGTATATAACTGAAGGTGTTTTAACCCCTTCAGTGTCAAGGGAGGGGGACCCTGAGGGTGGGGGTATAGTGTCAAGAAAACAAGTTTGTTTTCCTGACACTACAGTGATCCTTTAAATTAAACAAAGAAATAAAAATGAATGCTGGGTAAGGTGTGGGTTTGTAAAGTATAATGGGTAAAAGTGTACTTTAGCGTATTTTATTATTTTTCAATTTTACTCAAAGCAAATAGTATATTTTACTATTAAAGTTTATTATTAAAATACAAATTTACCTTCACTTGTTTAATTTTAGGCTTCCCCTCCCTCCGTCCCCAAGGATTAACTAGATAAGTATCACAACATTAAACCTACTGACTTCACGTTATAAGTGTAAAAGTAAACAGGTATCCAGATGTTTAAATCCCCACCAGAGTCCAGATGTTAAAATCCCCACCAGGAAGAGGGATGAGCTGTACATATATTCCATTTTACTCAAATGACATCCCTACACAAACACACACACAATCTGAATTCTATACACACACACACACTGCATTATATACACACACTACACAAACACACACACACTCTGCATTAAATACAAACACACACACACACACACTCTGCATTATATACACACACTACACAAACACACACTCTGCATTATATACACACATTACACAAACACACACACTCTACATTATATACACACATTACACACACACACACACACTCTGCATTATATACACACACTACACAAACACACACACTCTACATTATATACACACATTACACACACACATACACACACTCTGCATTATACACACACACTACATGAACACACACACACTGGATTATATACACACACTACACAAACACACACTTTGCATTCACTATACACACACTGCACAAACACACACACACTCTGCATTCATTATATACACTCACTGCATTCACTATACACACGACACAAATACAAACTGCATCCACTACACACACACTACACAAAAACACACAGCTCCCCTGTCTAAACACACTGCATCCACTACATTTGGCATGTATATTTTGTGCATTTACCTTTAGAAATAGTTTATTTTTTCAAAATGGTAAATGTACAGAATATCAGCAAGTTATCGGCTATCGGCCTCAAAGTTCACAGATTATCGGTATCAGCTCTAAAAAATCAATATCGGTCGATCCCTAGGTTCTATCTCTTAATACAGTTCCCCATCTAGATCATTCTTGGTCCGAATTTTTTACATGGTATTGTTATGACCATTTCAGGGTACCATACTTGTAATATGTCCACTTAAAGACACTTCAGAATTGGGCATTCGAAGGGACTCAACCGTCATAACGGTAATATTTGCTTACCCGATCGCCACTGTTCCCCCGCCAAAGATCAGCGTTGCTTGGCGAATTAGGCCCCCACAGCCATGTGATCACTCAAACAGAGCGGTCACATGGCTGCAATAGTAGTCCGAGCATCTGCCTGCAGGGGGACTGCCTGAACTGACCGTGTCCCTACATGCGTAAAATAATAAAATAAAAATAGTTAAATTAAAAAATATATTTATATATGTATGTGTGTGTGTGTGTGTGTGTGTATATATATATATATATATATATATGTGTGGATATATATATATCATATTAAGTGTATTTTTTATATTAATATATAAATATAGCTGTAGTTGTGGGAAGGGCTTGGATCCCCTTTAAAAGGGCTGCCATTCCTCTCCCACTTTACAGTAGTTGGTCTGGCGAGTTGAGGGGCTACTTCCGGTGAAGTCGCCATTTTGCTGTCTCTTACCTGTTTTC